ATATCTATTCAAGTGACACCATCATAGGGCCTAATCACATCAGCCATACCATCAGGGGCTCGTTCACCTGCACATCTACCAATGTGATATATGCCATCATGTGCCAGCAATGCCCCTCTGCCATGTACATTGGCCAAACCGGACAGTCTCTACGCAAAAGAATTAATGGACACAAATCTGACATCAAGAATCATAATACTCAAAAACCAGTGGGAGAACACTTTAACCTGTCTGGCCATTCTATGACAGACCTGCGGGTGGCTATCTTAAAACAGAAAAACTTCAAAAACAGACTCCAACGAGAGACTGCTGAGCTGGAATTGATATGCAAACTAGACACAATCAACTCAGGGTTAAATAGGGATTGGGAATGGCTGAGCCATTACAAACATTGAATCTATCTCCCCTTGTAACTACTCTCACACTTGCTTCTTATCAAACTGTCTGTACTTGGCTATCTTGATTATCACTTCAAAAGTTTTTTTTTTTTTTTTCTCTTACTTAATTGGCCTCTCAGAGTTGGTAAGACAACTCCCACCTGTTCATGCTCTCTGTATGTGTGTATATATATCTCCTCAATGTTTCACTCTATATGCATCCGAAGAAGTGGGTTGTAGCCCACGAAAGCTTATGCTCTAATAAATTTGTTAGTCTCTAAGGTGCCACAAGTACTCCTGTTCTTTTTCTGGTGTTGGTGTGATCCTCATCTGGTGAGTAGACCAACCAAAGCCAGACCTGTAGGCATTGTAGATGAAGTCTGGTGAATGGTGTCACATAAGTGCACAAGACCATGTGTCTAGAAGAGAAAGGCATACTTAGTCCTTGGTAATCTGTGCTATCAGATTGCTCATTAACTGAAATCTTTCTCTGGGGAGGAAAGCTCTTGCTGAAATAGAGACTGCTCTGACAAACTTTGTTGTCCGTGTGAGTGATAAAACAGACTTTTCTTTCTTTGCACAGACATCCAGCACTGCTAGAAGATGGAGCAGGAACAAAGTCGCCGATCTGACATCTTGGCTGGGGCCGCCTGCTAAGAGCCAGTTGTTAAGATACGGGAAAACTGTGTACCCTGACATCTCGTTTGGGCTGCAACCACAGAGAAGACCTTCATGAATACCCTGGGTGCTGTTGCTAGTCTTAAGGGAAGGACTATGAACTGGAAACGTTCCCGATCCACTAGAAACCAACGGAACTTTCTTGATACTAAGATGGCACTCATTTTATTGCCCCTTGTTGGAGGGGGGAGTCTGCCTCCTGTTTAAGAATCACTTCATGAGAGTGGTCCCTGAAGGGGATCAGGAAGGGGATTTGTGGGGAGGGAGAGAGAGAAACTCTATGGAATATCCTTAATGGACAAATTCTAGGACCCAATTCTCAGTCGTGATAGAGTCCCAGTTGTGGGTGAAAAGTGAGAGATGGCCCCCAAAGATAAAGTGGGTAAAGGTAGGTGGCATCAATAGCAGTGAAGGATATCAACTGAGGTGTCAAAAGTAGCCCTTAATTGGTGGCTGAGAATAGGCAGAGATTATGGTAGCTGAAAATTGATGTCTCTGAAGCCTGATGTTTATGGGGGATGTGGCTGGATGTGGGTTGTATAATGTCTGTGGAGAGGTTGGTCTTGGCCTATACATTTGCCTCTGGTGTTGTCTCCTCAGGGCTGGGGTGTAAATTCCCACGGAGTGTAGAGTTGACCGAAAGTCTTTCAGCAAGTGTAGGGACTCATCCGATCTTCATTAAACAAATTTAGCCTGTCAAAAGGCGGGACCTGTATGGCGTTCTGGACCTTCTTGGGGAGCCCTGAAGAGTGAAGCCAAGACTCATGCTTCACAACTATAACAGTGGCCAAGCCTCTGAATGCAGTATCCACTGCATCTAGAAGAAATGCCTTTGCCAACAACTTGCCTTCCTCTATCAAAGACTGAAATTGGGCTCTGTCCTCAGGGGGAAGCTTGTCCTTAACGTCAGCCAGCCTGGAGTAATTGTTAAAATCATATTTTGCTAACAAGGCCTGACAGTTCGCGGTATGAGTTGTAGGCTTGTAGGGGAAAAGATCTTTTTTCCTGCAAAACGTCCAACCTCTTTGAGCCCTTGTGAGCCGGAGTGGTCTTGGGATGTTGTAACCTTGCTCTCTTTGTGGCTGCCTGTACCACCAGGGATTTGGGTGCTGGGTGGGAGAAAAGACATACAGCTTCTTTGGCAGGGACAAAATAGTATCTCTCAGCCCTCTTAGGCATGGGGGCTCATGAGGTGGAGGTATGACAGACCACTATCGCTGGCTCCATGATAGCGCCATCTTGCTTGGATCTGCAGCCTACAAAATATCCAGAAGATTGTATTGGAAATCATGGATCTTCTCCAGTGTTATATGGAGGCCATTGGCTATCCTCTGCAGTAGCTCCTGGTATGCCTATGGTCGTCCAGCAGAGATGGTGAGGATGGAGTGACAGCTTCATTTGGAGCTAGGATGAGATTCCCATTGATGCCTGTGGATCCGAATCAGTGTCCACCTCCTCCTCATACTGTGACAGATCTGGTGGGTGCCAAGGAGAGGTGTTGTATGACTCTTGGACGGATCTGGGGTGTCTGCCACAGAGTTTCCACGGGCTCCAATAAAGCCAAAAGGAGGGATCAATCAGATGGGGGAGACCTCACAGCACTGGGTACCAGCGGTCCCTGGGGAAGTAATATCTGGGAGGATGACATCCACGTCTCCTCGACTCTCTATCAGGGCTCAGGTCTCTAGGAGATGGACTGGCTGGGGTGCCTGACTCATCTGAGTCTGAGAACTGCTCTCTCCTCATTGGTGAGGTGGACAGTATATGAGGGTGGATGCTCCTGCCCATGGGGTAGAGAGGGGATGGTTCTTGTGTCACCAAAACAGTTTTGTCCTCCTGTAAGGCAATTTTCCTCTGGAGGACTGGGCTGGAGAGAGGCTGAGGGTAAGGGAGGAATATATCCTTTGGTATCGTGTAGGTGTCTGTACGTCCTGGCATTTTGGGTATTCCAATGGTCAGAACCAGGAAATTGTAGTTGGGTTGTCCTCTGAAGGGAGGGCTGGTATCAATGAAGAGTTAGTTCCAGCACTTCTAGACGGAACCAACCGATGTCAGTCCTTGTGTTTCAAAGCCAGAGCCAGTGACAGATCCTTTTTCTTGCACATTTTGACTTCCAAAATCCTGGACCTATAGGATCCACGAACGAAGGCTCACCCAGCCTGGACAGGCTTTGGGAGGGATATCTTATGGACACCCCTGGACAGGGGCCTGTCCTTGCAACTATGAAAGTGCCCCCTACTCTTATGGGAAGCCGTGGAAGAGTCCTTGGGCTTAGAATCTGTAGACTCCGCTTCTAAGCTTATGTCGGGGGCACTGCTCATCTGATGGAGCCAATGTACAGCATGCGTGGGTGTCTCCGTGGCCTGGATCAGAGTGAGGTCTCATTGCCTTCTTCATAAGGTGTATCCTTAAGTGAAGGTTATAAGCTTCACATGGTTGTGATGGAAACGAGCAACAGATGCTGCACTTTGCCGGAATGTGCATCTTACCCAAGTAGTAGAGACAGTGTTGGTGATCAGTGCTCATGGAGAAGGAGTGAGGGCAAGAGACCGTTCTTGAACCCTGAGGCTCTGGGCATAGCCCCAGATCTCAGGGAGAGTGTCTCTGGTATGGGGAAAGAACAAGCTATACTAACTAACTAAACTACTATAAAACTATTTACAATATCGATTTACAGGCTACCAAAGAAAAGCTGGAGAAATCTGTGGACACAGGGATTCTGAGTCAGGGCATGTGATGGGCAAGAAGGAACTGGAGAGGTGTCGGTCAATACTGCCACTTATGCCCTTGGTCTGGAGCACGAGGAGAATTAATGAGCATGTGCAGGCCAACCGACATTGCTTGTTAGAATGTATGGATTCGGGCACATGCGCACCCAAGTGTCGAACACACATAGGGACCAGCACCCATAGAAGAATTGAGACTTCTTTAAAACTCAAGGCCATTTCTCTTTGAAAAAGAGCTACAAACCTCCAAGATTTCTGACTATACATTTTAAGAGGACAGGACCATTCAATCTTGCTAATTATGAAAACACTCCAGAAAGAGCAGAACTGATTACAACGCGAGTCTTTGGGAGACAAATTTCAGTATATTTCACTTAAAAACACCCATTTTTTGCTTGATAGCTGAGAAATATTTTGCCTGAACAGTGTTAAAAATATTCGTAAAATACAGAAATCCTATTAGGATTGAGGGAAAAAAAGGAATTTCCCTGCTCATAAAATAAAAATAAAATTATTGAAAGTTGATACTACGTATCTTCAAATAATCAGAAATATCACATGGCAGCACTCTCTTTGGGTTTCTTGTTTAAAGTGCATGCAGAAAATGTTTAATAATTTTAGAAGTCTGAGGAAATTCCCAGACAAAAACAACTGTGTTAAGTTGGAGTTAAAGTTTAGAGTAAGTACCAGTAATAAAAAAAAAAAAAAAAAAAAAAAGGTAGTTACAGGACTGTTGCAATTATCCCCAAACCAGGAAATTCAGAGTTAAGGTTACACAGAAAAGAAATCAAAACATGTTAAGATATGGAAATGCACAGTTAAGGCACCCAAACAACTGCAACTCCACTTTAATGTAGTTTTTTGGGGGGGGAATATAATAAAGTTCCATTCCTAGGGAACAATTTAAAAACAATCAGCCTTAAAAAGTACAAAAGCTGTATACTTGCTATGTCAGTCTAGATGCACTCCTGTGATGTCTAGGTAAGAGTTTGCCTACACATGAAAACTAATCCAGATTTAGATACGGTATGAATTAAAAACAGATTAACTCCATGTGTGAACGCTTTTATTTTAGAATAAAAGAGTGCCTTATTGTGAATTATCTTAATCCACTTTGGAAGAGGAATAGCTATTCTGGAATAACTCGCTCTGTAAACAAGCCCGGTTAAGAAGAGGTTAAAAAGAGATGAGAAGACTCCTGATCTTAAGCATTCTGGGCTGTGCTTTTGCTTACCTCACTCTCATGGTGTTTCACAATCTGCAATTCAAAGAATTCCTCTTCCTCTTCCCCAGTGAGAGTAGCATCCCATCCACCAGGTTCTGGGTCATCAAGGTTATCTTGAGAGCTAAAGTCATCCGCTAGGAGCACAGAAGACTCAAAAATGTTAAAAGAAACAAGAACTGTACTCCATTCAAAACCGCACAAGAGTAATGGCATTAATTTTTGAGTACTGGCCAAATGCCAGTTTGGACAATTATTTTCTGCCTAAGTAAAATTCCACCTTAGTTTCATTTCAATAGGGTATCCTTTACACCGTGCCTGAAACTGTTGTGTTGCATTGTACAGGGAGTGTGTTTGTGGTTTGGGAGCCTTTGGTATGAAGTGTGCTATATGAAGTCCTTCCTACCCTGGGACTTGTAGCAGTGTTTGAAATCGTTATAGACGTGGTTACAGAAAAGCAGTTACATTACCTGCATCCACAGCTAATGTGGTTACAAATTGTGTCACACCCTTGTTTAGAACTTCAGCATGGGCTATATCTAGGGCAAGGAACCTATAGCAGTTTCAGCTGGAACAATTTAAAAAACAATGTGTTCCTGTGTTGCTTGTGCTAACAGCCAACATATGTTGGAAAACTGTTCTCAAACACAATTCTGGTTGAGCTACATGTGGTCAGTCACTGAACTGTGGTTATGTTAGCAGGGCCTCAGCTTAGGTAGTCATTCTAGTACTTACCAGCGCCAATATCAAAGCACGCTTATATTTATTCAATTCTATTATATATTTGAAACAGTTTATCTCCCTCCTTCTTTACATCCCTTATCAGACACTTCTCAGCTTGTGAATTCCTTGAGTTTACTATTCATCTAGGCTGGAATTTTCAAAGAAGCCAAACAGTTATGTGCCCAACTCCCTTCGAAATCCCAGCAATTTTATTTGCATTGATTTTCAGGCTAGAAAGGACAATTATGATCATCTAATCTGACTTTCTGCATAACAAAGGCCAGATAATTTCATCCAATAATTCCTGTAGCAAGTCCCATAACTTCTAGTTGACCTAGACCATATATCTTTTAGAAAGACATCCAATGTTGATTTTAAAACTTCACATGATAGAGAATCCACTACACCCTTGGTAAGTGGTTACAATGGTTAATTCCTCTCACTGTTAAAAAAAAATAAATAAATCAGGTGCCATATTTATAGTCTTGAGTTTATCAAGCTTCAGCTTCCAGCCACTGGATCTTTTCCTACCTTTGCCAGCTAAACTAAAGAGTTCCCTACAATCATAAATCTTCCCATGTACCTACAGACCATGATTGAGTAACTTCCTAACATTCTCTCTGGCAAGCTAATAGTCTGAGCTTCTGAAGTCTCTCACTATAAGGAAGTTTTCCCAGAATCATTCTCGTAACTGTTTTCTGAACCCTTACAAAATCTGTCATTATCCTTTTTAAAGTGTGAACACCCCAACTGGAAATGGTATCACACTAATGGTCACAGCAATGCTGTATGTAGAGATAACACCACCTCTGTACTCTTATTTGATGCTTATACATCCAAGGATGATGTTAGTCCCTCTTAGCCACATCATCACACTAGCAGCTCATGTTCCACTGGTTATCCACTAGGACCTTTACGTCCTGTTCAGAGTCACTACTTTCCAGGATACAGTCCCCCATTCTGTAGGTGTGGCCTGCATTCCTTGTCCCTATATGTATGATCTTGTATCTGGATGTATTAAAAGGCAAGCGAGCCCAGTATACCAAATGATAAAGATCACTCTGCCTAACTAACCTACTCTCACTTACGATTCCAGCCATTTGTGTCATATGCAAACTTTATCAGCAATTTTTTCCCAGATCTTTGATAAAGATATTGAAGAGCACCGGCCAAGAACAGATCCCTGTGGGACTCCACTAGAATCATTCTTTTTGAATGATTATTCCGCATTTACAACTGGCTTTTATTGTTAGCTTCTAAGTTTTATTCCCTTTGTTATTTTATACCTCCCTTCTTCCTGTCTTTTCACTTATTTAAGGTCGGCAAAACATAGGGAGGATAAAAATGTATTGTTCATTCTGTATGTAATTGCTGTGTATTCTGGAGTATTAAACAATATAGTTGGATGAAATAAATGTAGTTCTAATAGTCTTTTCACATTAATAAACCTGCCACTCAAGGAATTTCTTCATTTTATTAGTTTGCTTCTTATTTCCTATAATGTTATTGGCTAGACAAAGTTTATTTCAAACGCTCTCTGTCCTCTCTTACCATTTAAGTCAAGGAAAACAACTGGAATATGGGTTTCCATACCAGGCACTGGAGTCCTAAAACATAAGATATTGACAATGGTGGCATTTAAACTGAAGCAGATTTATCCAGCACACGTACCTTATGATACAAGCCAACAGTATAATACATTCTGCACAGCTGCGATTGTAGGTCAAGCCAATGATAACCTTGGCAAATGGCTTTATTTTAATTTACTCTTGCAGATACAGAGGGACTCAAACTAAATTGGTACTTCTTTTATACTAGCTCCCTCACAATTATTACATTATTTGACCTCTGCTTTCAGAAATGTTTTCTTGCCTCTAAACTGCTAATAGCAAATTTAAAGTTTCTTTATTTACACTGACATGTACACATATTAATGCAAAAACCTCTGCATTAGTAATGCGACCGAAGGTTGGACTGTTAGTCGCGAAAAGTCAGGAAAGGCAAATATTCAGGTTCCAAAAGCAAAGTTAACTCTCCCACATTGCACAACTATTATGCTGATTGTTAAGCACCCAAAAATAAAAATAGGAATAGGAAGTCGTACATATGTGCAGCATGTCCAAATTAACACTGCGGTTTATGTTTTAACTTTTAAACTTCCTGATATGTTGTGATTTAAAGGTGCAACCTTAATGCTTTATTCTATATTATCCCTTTAATTTCCTATTTTTATAACACATTTTAGAAAGATTTTGTAAGAGGAAAAAAGTTAGTAAGTTGCTTGAATCAGCCTTTGCACATTTCCCTAGATGCACATGCATTCACAATACATTTCTTCTAAGTATGTATCTTACAACTACACTGTTTTCTGCTGTGCATGCTCAGTATGGAGTTTTCAAATATTCACAGCTTTTTAACTGGAAAGATGGCATACAAAAAGTCCTCAGTAAGGAGTGAGGACTTTCCTATGCTTCAAAAGCATTAGTTTTAACAAAGTTCAACTTAAAAACCAAACAAACAGGGTCCAGTCAGCAAGTGTGGTTAGAGGTTTTCCTCACACTCTGCACAATACACCTCTATCTCGATATAACCCTGTCCTCGGTCGCCAAAAAATCTTACCGTGTTATAGGTGAAACCACGTTATATCGAACTTGCTTTGAACCACCGGAGTGTGCAGCCCCGCCCCCCCGGAGCACTGCTTTACCACATTATATCCGAATTCGTGTTATATCGGGTCGCGTTATATCGGGGTAGAGGTGTATATCTTGTGTCCCCTTCTTCACTACCATGCTCCCTCTCCAAACAACTCAAATGCTGATCAGCTTTTCCTCCAAAGCAGAGACCAAGCACAAAAAAATTCATCCCAAGTTAGAATATAGTGGCTTAGAATAGAAACTGTTTTGCATCCTATACTGCAGTTGTTACCCACAGCTGCCATAGTATGGCAATCTCAGTCCAGTGTAATTTATTGGTTTTAATATTTAGAAAATTATGTGCAACACCTGCTGACTAAACAGACTCTATGCTTAAGCCAGAAGCATACAATGCTCCTGCAGATGGAGTTTTATTATGACGGAGCAGCTTTTTAAGTGAAGGAACTACATAACATATGAACTAATTTTTTTTTAATGCTAAGTGCAGTGGTAATAAATATTAATTTATTTTTTTTCAAAAGTCATATTTACATTTTGGTCAATAACAGTATCATTTACCCACAAAAGCTTATGCTCCAATACATCTGTTAGTCTATAAGGTGCCACAGGATTCTGTTACCTTTTACAGATCCAGACTAACACGGCTACCCCTCTGATACTTACTAAAGAGTGTTTCTGGGTTTCAGTTATTGAGACCAAGAAATTAATTCACACTAACACTCCTAATTTAACCACTTTTGTCATATGACGTACATAATCCACATGTGGTGGCGCAGAAAATGGCAGCAATCCAAGCCAGGAACAGGCTGCCCATCATTTTTATATTCACTGTGGCATATAGTAACGTTCATACCACTCTGCTGGAGCTCCAGGGATCCCACTGCCAGCAGAAGGAACCATTACAGCATTCCTTTCTTCAGTAAGGGTGAGCCTCATCTCTAACAGTTGTGCCTCCCGATCAGTATCATCTTCTGTTTTATCTGGAAAAGTAGGACAGTCAGTCAGAACGACAAGCTGCAATGGAAAAAATGCTATCTTTGTGATGCATATTGGTGGTCTCAACCCACATGTTAGTGGGCCACTGATTTTATAAAAAAAACAAACAAACAACATCATCTAGTCACCCTGCTGGCAGTTTTAATAAAAACAACTATTACTCTGTAAGTATACACAGATTTTCTCTATAGAGCTCTCTATTTGTGACTTGAGTGCATGTCAGAATACTCCCCAAACTGACGATTTCAGAGATTCAGTTGTTCCTTCCCCTGGCTACTTAATTTCACACACATTACAAAAACAAAAATACCTTCATACACCCTCACCCCTCCCACTACCAATAATGTTTCACCTACCAGGTTTGCTGTCGAGTTTTTGCAGCTGTTGATCTAGGTATTCCTGACGTTTTGTCAATACGTTCAGCCATTTCCGACGCAGTCTCTCCAAATCCCTGTCCTATGTAAATGAAGCAAGTTGTGTAAGTCCTGATCCAACAAAACCAATGTTTCCCATTTGTAAACATATGTAGCTTTCAATCCATCTGTTCATACTTTTTATTTTTGGCCACTGTTCCCCCTGAATTAGTGCCTTGGGGACTATAGAAATGAGATATGGAAGAGATCTCCATTAAGTCATCTAGTCTACCCATTATTCTCCTTTATTACAGGATTGTTCCTCACATTCAGTCACATCCACTGCCCCATCCTTGCAAGTCTTGACTTGATCTGGCAAGTCTCTCTCTCCAGTTATCTTATATTCCCTACTACTCATTTAGGCAACATAAATGTGGAAATAGGAAATTTACAGGATTTAGACTGTCCCACAGCCTCACTTTATTGTTAACACTAATACTGTGACAGGGCCTGGAAAGTACAATCAGGATTAGAGCCCCCATCTGTGCTAAGTACTTTGCAAACACATAGTAAGAACCAGTCCTTGTCTTACAGAGTTTCAAGTCTAAGGATCCAATCCTGAATTATGGGTGGACTGCTGTATAGATGATAATGCCGGATTGGGGCCATGCTATTTTTGGTAAAATATTGTTCCTGACATACATGTGAATTCCCCCTTGCCTAATCTGATCCTATTATTCCTCATTGTACCACCCCCCTAAGACTTCCCTAAACATTCCTTCTCCTTTGTTAGGCATTTAATCAATCAAGAGAAAAGGATTGAAGCAAACCGTAACCTGCGTGGTTTTGAACACCTATAGTCTTGTAGAAATGCACCTAGAACCCTCTCCAGCCCGCCAAAGACCAAATTAAACACAGGATCTATCCTTATATGCTTATACTACTGGTAACAGCAACAATGAGCATGAGGTGTTTTTTGCCTACTTCTGTGTACTTTTCATGACAATGTATCACAAATATTATGCCACACCAACAACTCTGTGAAGTTAAAAAAAAAATCCCCATTTTCGGGGGGTGGGGTGGGGTTGATGGTCAAAACAGAGGTTAAATTCCTAGCCCAAAGTCACAGTGAGTTGTGGTCCTAGGAATAGAATCCCTGTCCTGACTAGTAGGCCCGTTTTGTTCACTAGCCAATATTTTATTCCCAGGTCCAATATAAACCATGTTCATAACATAAAATAGTGTGAATCATTTTGCTTCTACGCATCTTAAACATTATACCTATGACTGCTCTGAGCACAGCCAATCCTAATCCACAGGCTGTAGATACAGAGAGGAAGCATGTCAGAGAGTAGAGAAGATAAGAGGAACTATGCCTTGTTCAGGAAACATACATTAATGTGTCCCATTCTTTCAGAGAGAAAAATGCCTCTTAATTCTGGGTCAGATATTATATAGTCTAAAAATTTGTGTAAGATTTTACAGTCTTCAGGACAGCAACTGTTAAGATATTCATGCCTCATACAGTGGGATGTACAATGTTGATGTCTATCTAATATTGAAAATTAGACCAGGCAATCTGATCTACAAATATTTATATTTGAAGATAGATAAATGTTGCTCTATTTACCTGATAACTGTCCATATCATCCTCTCCTTCCTAGGCAAAAAAAAAAAAAATCTAAGTCATTCATAAACACTTTTATACTAGAAAATACATTAAGTGCAAAAGCAGTATTTATGGTTAAAATATTACCAGCTGTATGTGTAATTCTGATTAAAATGTCTAGCAATGTAGTACACTGGGGATAGATACTGGTACACGAGCTTCACAGTATTAATAGTGGATAGCAGTGCCACTTGTACCCACTACTTATTTTTCCTTTATAAATCTTGTTTGGAAGGGTATTGTAATTGAAGATTTATATCGCTTAGTATAAACAACTGGAATGTATTTTCATAGTTTACATAGCAATTAAAGGAAAACTCCAGTAATAAAGGATTCTAACCACTACATCTAATTGCTAAGAAGTGACTGCCAAAACATTTGAGTGGTTTAAATAAGAAGGAATAATTATAGTGAAAAGGCACTTGCAATCTATCCATTCTGATGGATACATGATAGGACTAGAGAAAGAACCTACTGTCTTATTAGTAAGAGGCAGGAATTGTTATAGCAAGCATGGGAAACCAAAGTTTGACAAAAGATTAGTTTTAAGGCAAGCCATTTAGTGGGGGAAAATGTTAACATATTAAACCCATTCTTAAACCAAAAGTTAAAACAAAAGTCACATTAGCGGTCACCACACAAAAGCTCTGACACCTTGATTTTCAGTCCTTTCTGATGGGACACAGAACCTTTCATCAAAATGACCTACATCAAACTGGGCCCCTTGCTAGAAAGTATCATCACGATGGCAATCAGGAGTGAGACACAAAGCACCATTCACTGAATGAAGAAAAAGCAAAAAGCAAAGGATTTCCAAAAATTTTTTGGAAATTCATTCCTATACTCACAGTCTCATTGAGTAAATATTTATCTAGCTACTTAAAGGATAAAGGGGAACTCCCGTGATGAGTTAAGTAACAAAAGCAAATTTTAGGTAAGTGAAAGTTAAAATTAAAAAGGCATACATTTTCTTAGTTTCAAGGTCTTTGGAAAATTTGATACACATGAAAGATAAATAAATTAGAGTTGCAGATATGCAGAACAAGAACCCAGAGGTTCAAAGTAGATGGTTATGTCACTTTAATAAAAAAGGTTATTTAATTTTGTGGATTATAGCTTTCAAAAAAATTGTAAAATGAAAAGCCTTAAGGCCTGGTCACAGGATGGAGTGGCCTTTTAAGGGAGTTGGGCTCAGTCCACCTCTGCCTTGTTAGCTGCCTCCCCAGTTTTGAGCTTTGAGATAGATTTGGGAGCCTGCTCAGTTTAGTTATGGAACGAAGATGTGAAAGAAGACTCTCCTTCAATAAAGTTTAGCCAAAGCATTAAGTCAACCAACATTGCTGGGAGCTGGAGGACCACTGTGAAGAGACATTCAACCAAGGTGGGGAAACTGAGGCAGCTGCTATGTCACAAGCCCATTCATTCATTCCCATCCACACTGAACTTCCAACTGATGACAAGGGGCGTTAGGGTGATTTTAAAATGCAAAAGCAACATATATCTCTGCTCTCCTAAACCTAAAAATAAATAACTGAAGTTTTGCTCCTTTAATTTTAAACTTTTCCAAAATCACATTAGCCATTATTTAAGTACAATCCCCATTGATACATTATAATTTCTTATGCCCATCGCTGTTGTATCCAACTGTCTTCCAAGTAAAATCAATTACCAAAAACAAAGCTCCTAGCAGACTTCATGGAGAGTCTGGCTTTTCTACCTTTTTGGGGTGTATAAACACTCTTCTTGAAAAGGGGTTATGTTTTTATTCATTTAGTAGGGTTTTTTTTTAAAATAAAGAGGAGGAAGAGGGTAAAGCAAAAGTGTGTGTTAGTATTGCAAGTCTCATTCTTCTTATGGTGGAAGTCCTTTTAATAGAATCATAGAATATCAGGGTTGGAAGGGACCTCAGGAGGTCATCTAGTCCAACCCCCTGCTCAAAGCAGGACCAATTCCCAACTAAATCATCCCAGCCAGGGCTTTGTCAAGACAGGCCTTAAAAACCTCAAAGGAAGGAGATTCCACCACCTCCCTAGGTAAACCATTCCAGTGCTTCACCACCCTCCTAGTGAAAAAGTTTTTCCTTATATCCAACCTAAACCTCCCCCCACTGCAACTTGAGACCATTGCTCCTTGTTCTGTCATCAGGTACCACTGAGAACAGTCTAGATCCATCCTCTTTGGAACCCACCTTCAGGTAGTTGAAGGCTGCTATCAAATCCCCTCTCATTCTTCTCTTCTGCAGACTAAATAATCCCAGTTCCCTCAGCCTCTCCTCATAAGTCATGTGCTCCAGCCCCCTAATCATTTTTGTTGCCCTCCTCTGGACTCTCCAATATTTCCACATCCTTCTTGTAGTGTGGGGCCCAAAACTGGACACAGCACTCCAGATGAGTCCTCACCAATGTCGAATAGAGGGAATGATCACGTTCCTTGATATGCTGGCAATGCTCCTACTTATACAGCCCAAAATGCTATTAGCTTTCTTGGCAACAAGGGCACACTGTTGACGTATATCCAGCTTCTTGTCCACTGTAACCCCTAGGTCCTTTTCTGCAGGACTGCTGCATAGCCACTTGGTCCCTAGTCTGTAGCAGTGCATGAGATTCTTCCATCCTAAGTGCAGGACTCTGCACTTGTCCTTGTTGAATCTCATCAGATTTCTTTTAGCCCAATCCTCTAATTTGTCTAGGTCCCTCTGTATCCTAACCCTACCCTCCAGCGTATTTACCACTCCTCCCAGTTTAGTGTCATCTGCAAACTTGCTGAGGGTACAATCCACGCCATCCTCCAGATCATTAATGAAGATATTGAACAAAACCGGCCCCAGGACCGACCCTTGGGGCACTCCGCTTGATACCGGCTGCCAACTAGACATGGAGCCATTGATCACTACCCGTTGAGCCTGATGATCTAGCCAGCTTTCTATCCACCTTATAGTCCATTCATCCAGCCCATATTTCTTTAACTTGCTGGCAAGAATACTGAGGAAAGATTTTTTTGGTAGCATTTCCTAGAGAAAATCAGAATCTGGATTTACCCACCCATAGCTCAATATGTTCACTGAAAGAGTATTGTCAAAATAGTGTTTAGAAGTCACTGTTTCACATAGAGTAGGGTAATTTACAGCCAGTGGACTTGCTCCAGAAGTGAATTTGTCCCAAAAGAGCTTTCCACAGCTTTCCAGGTGCATCCGCAAGCCTCTGAATTATCATTTTTAATTCCTGCTAAAGATCTTTTAATGAGACAGGATCTTACCTGATGAGTCTCATGAACTTTTTGTGACTTGACATGCCTTATTTGAACACAGCCAACTCCAACAGATAGTAGGGCTTCTTCCATTAGAGGCAAGGTCCCAGATTCCTGCACCGACTTCACTTCGGCCTGGATTCGCCGTGACTGCCCCTTCACAAGGGAACAATTTGAAGAACTAAAAGTCTTGAATGGTGAAAACTTAGTGACAGAGAGACCTCTACTGGTGGTGGCTTTATATATAGTCAATTTGAATCTGGTGATTGTTCACTACATAGAAAGTGGTACTGCAAGCTCTCATGTGAGACATGACATTGGTTAGGTAGAACTACCACTCTGCTGCAAGGTCTAAATCCACAAGAAAGTGTGGGACATTCGGTGAGCCCACAATTTGCTTTTGATGAAAGCTTTTCAAAGGTTTAAAAAAAATACTCAAAAACACTGAAAATAGGATTCCTCCCCCCCATCTGTTTTGACTTTGTACACTTGAGGGGAGAGAATGTAATTTAGCAAATGTTACTGAAGCTGAAATTAACTTTTTGTGGGACTGGATTCCCTGATTGTAAACCCTCACCACTGATGTCAGCACAGCTCTAGGAACAGTGTTTGCTAGCTGCTGCTGCTGTACAGTCAGCAGAATAGGAAATCATAGTAGTTTGGGAGTTCAGGGAGGAACAGTGTGTATTTAACAAATATTAATTTTATAGAGTTCTCTGACCAGTGGACTATATTTTAAAATATTAAATGTGCAGGAACCAGAGAGCGGGAGAGTAGCTGGCTAAGAGGATTAGTAATAAGATAATGGGAACTTTAGCATCGGGTTTTCGATCAAGTTCTGCCTGGGTTGATAGTAACTAAAAGTTGTTTTCTGATGGCTGTTCTATATCCTGTGTGAGAGGAGTTTGATTTGAGAATTTGGTCCAGTCCAGCTTCCAGGTATCCATATCTTTAAAAAAATATCCTGTCAACTGGTTCCTCAGTTGACAGTCTCAGCACAGTGGCCAAAACACGAAGTAGACGATTGAGAATGACCTATCCTCCAGCATCTGTGGTCTCCTCCAGGTAAGGGCTGAAACACAGTGGCAGAGCAGTGTGGAGATAGCTTCCGCTGCTGTTACCCACACTCTGCCTGTTTGATGGGTAATAGAGGACCTCAGTCTGCTAAGGGTCTCTAAATACCTACACAAAATATAGAAGGTATCCAATGCATTTCCCTCTAGACTGTAACTGCTTTAAAGCTGATCGAATACTGGGCCTAAGTTTGATGGTTCCTTTGACATAAGCCCACTATTAAAACTCTATGAACCAGTACAACATACAAGATTCCCTGCTTTCTTCAGAATGTTAAAGCCGGCCTCTTTTCACAGGTGACTCCTGCAGCTGCCATCTTACCTGTCTGAGCTGAAAGATGCCACCAGTGTTTACGTCCTTGGCGGGAATCACCTCAACTGGACAGTACTCCCCATTCTCATTAAGTTCCAGAATCTGAACCCAGAGCTCCACTTTTCGGGTTACCTCACTCCATCTGGAAAACATACCAAATACCATTTCACAATTTACATTTTTTCCCCTTCTCTCTCGCTCTTTTTTTTTTTTTTTTTAATTGCTGAGCCAAGCTACATGACTGCTCAGTATTTGCAAAGATCACAGGCAGGGGAAGGGGAGATACTTTTCAAGTGTCATTTATGCCTGGAAAAGATTTTTAGTTACCCATTGCTACTTCTGAGCTAACAACTAGCGATGGCACTTTGGCCTAAAACTTTTGTAGACACAAGACCTCTTCATACTGGTTTCATATCAGAATGAGTGCCAATTAGACATTGAGGTCAAATTCTGTTCTCTCTTATACCCATCCAATCCCACTGACTTCAGTGCAGTTGAACCAGCATTACCGAGGGCAGAATTAAGGTTATTCTGGTTTCATGTGGCCCCCTATCCTGACTTTCTCCATCACTACCATCCTCTCTTCCTTCAAGTTTACCCCTACAATGCACTTCTTCCACAAAGCCTATAAAATTAGTCCTCCCATCTTTGAAAACCCTTCACTGAAAAGAACAAACTTATTCTGCAAGATCCATGTGTGACACTGGCAGACCAGGTGCCAGCTCTTGCCACGGCTCTAGACCTCAGCCCAGCACTGACAAATTCATTGCTGGAAACCATTTTGTTTCACCTGTGTGTTAGTAAAGATGGATACTGGATTTATAACAATGTGTTTAGACCAATGGTTCTCAACTCGTGGGTCACTTACAGCCCAATCAGCATACAGGTGACATCCCTCAGGGCCATACAGATAGTATATATAGTGTGGATGCGGCCCACATAACACACAGAGAGCAGCATATGTGGCCCACAGTGGTAAATAGGTTGAGAACCACTGGTTTAGACTTTATGAAATGAAATGCTTGGAAACTGCAGCATACATTAATCTCACTTATAATTTCTTTATCACATGCTATAAGGTAATATTTAAGTTTTTGCTTTGTAACTAAAAAACGTTTGCTCTGAAACTGTGAACCTAGTTAGGAGGGATGGTCTCTTGTCCATCAAGAACATCTATCAAAACTAAATGGGCCAGCTTACAAAGACTTTGTTAATTGCCCCATTAAAAATCAAGAACAGGGCAATGTGCAAAAGGGCTCGTCCCATCAGCTTGAATTTTGGAAGTAGGAAATTTTGTAACACGCTTGTCAATTCTCCCTTCTCCTTATTTTTCCCAGTGTTTGTTACCTTCCCATGTCATGTCTTAACTTACAGTCCTATTCTGTTGCCACTAAAGTCAATGGCAAAACCACAATTGTCTCCAGTGAAAGCGTGAGCAGGTCCTTAGATTGTAAACCCTTCCTGGCATGGACTGATCGCCAATACATCGTTACGTAACCAAAGAAATTCTCCCGTCCATTGATTTCAGAGTTACAGTTAAATCAGCCCCACTATCTTTTGTTTCTTTGCAAAGAACCCATACACACATTTATGGTGTTGCCTAAATAATATGACATCATCCAGTCTTATTCTTCAGGTTTTTCTTCATTACTAACCCGTGTAGTGGTTTTGCAATGAGCACAGAGGGTTACAAAGACCCAAACATCAGATTCATTTTTACTTAACCCAGGATTTGACTGCTGGTCTCTAACCCACTCTACAATCCAGAAAAATATACTGTGCCTGGGAGGCTGGATTTTAAACTGTGTGGGAGGAGTTTGCTGCCTGCAGTTACCTGTCACGAAGGCTTCGGGTTTTGGCTTGAATTATTCCCAAATCCCACACGGCTGAGTTTTTGCGAGGATCACTTTGCTTGTGCCCGTACACTTCAATTGCCAAAGCCCCTTCGTAAAGATGCTCCATGAAGTCTTCAGAAATATTTACAGAAAACTCCTATGTGGAAATGACAAAACTAGTTAAACATTAAAAAGAATAAGTTGTTAACGATTGTGATAATTGGACCTACAAATTTACCCTAATTGTGAGCTCAACTGTGAAAAGTGAGTGAAAGTTCACAAAACATCACAATAACCTTCAACAATAAATGCTGATGGGAAAAGGTGCATAAGGGCAACAGAAACACGGCATTAGTCCAAACAAAAAGGCCTACTGATATAAATCAAGGACCATGGTAAGGTCCTGACTTGTAAGCAAGAAAAGTGTGCAACCAGACGTCAACAGACCAAAACTGTTGCGTCAGAAATTAGGCCCAATTGGGGAACAATGAGAATGAGGGGATAGGCTGTTCCACCCATCAGTCCCTTAGGGTCCTCAAAAAGAGGCTAGAAGGAAAAGCTAGCTACTGCAATGCTGGGTGACTGGAAGAGAAGAGAAGAGAAGAGAAGAGAAGAGAAGAGAAGAGAAGGGGAAGGAGCAAACTTCATCATCATAACTGCTGCCCACTCTGTTTCCTGGGACCCTAGGGTTCAGAGTGACACCACTGTGCCTTGATCATCCTAATCCTGAAAGATGTCTTGACCAGTCTGGGTCAGAGAGAGGGCCCCAGATGACACTGCCATACCCGCCAGGTCCAGCTACATCCCAAACGCCACATGGGATATGAGATTTTGTCTCCTCCCTCTCCCCCACAATGTATTCTTTTTCTTCTCTACCTTATTACTTCTCTTTCCTCTCTCTTTCTTTTTTTCTTCTGTCTAATAAGAGTCTGTCTTAGCCTGCCAAGACTGCATACTTTGCCGTAAGCCTGTTACCAGAAGGGCAGCTAAATGCAATGCCCTAAATAGCCCAGGCTGATACATGATTGCCAGGTCTCAGAGTGGCTGATAAGATCGTGTGCTGTGCCTATGTTTTTCCACCAGAGAGGTTGCAAGTGAGGAAGAAGTTGCATTTTCTATCTTTGCTGTTCTTTTCTTTCTCCTTGTGTGTGTCTGCTGTCTTGTTGCATCTTTTAGGAAACAGGATTGGATTTTAACAGCAATGACATCTCAACTAACTTCTCTTTTCCCTGAAAAGGACAGTTACCAACTAAGAGACTTATCAGACATGGTGGGGGTTATTTGAGAACTCTCTCCAACTAAAGGGACAGTGAACAAGAGATGTTAAGATGAAAGCCTTATTTAATATTTAACATTTCAAATGCTTTAACTATTTTCCCTTCCACCCCCCCACTGTACCTTCAATAAAAGGTTAAAAGGATTTTTAATTGTATGTTTGCCAAGGTATTAAGTAGGCTGAGGTCTCTGAATACCAAACCCCAAAACTCGTTTAAAACTGTTTACTGTTGGACAGTTACAGGGACATGTTCACACCTTTAACTCTTTAGGCCCCTATATTCCTTCTAAATTAATAACCCCCCATTCTACACACACTTTTGGAGGGGACTCTCGATCAGACAAGCTACATAATCCCATTCATCCAAGTCTATTATTTCATTGACTGCTTTTTTGCATAAATCAAAGGCTTTTGACACTGGCATTTAAGGTTCTCCACTCAGAAGCACTAGGCTGATGTCTCCTGATTTCTGTACCTACTTCTACCTGCAAATTGCATTCAGTTTCTGCATATGGTAAAAATGAACACTTGGCACTTCTCTAGTGCTTTCCCTGGTCAAACTATTTGTATTACAGTAGCACCTAGGGAGGCACCTAGAACCTACAGAAGAGGTTGGAGCCTATTGTACTAGATGCTACACGTACATGTAGTAAAACAGTCCCTGACCCCAAGAGCTTAAAATCTAAATTAATAAAGACAAAGAAGGTGTGAGAAAGGAAGCGTTATTACCCCTATTTTTCAGATGCAGAAGTCAGGCAGAGAAATTATCTGACTTGCCCAACGGTTTTCAACCCGCGGCCTGCATGCGGCCCACTTAGCACACAGCTGTGGCCCAGCTGTGTGCTAAAGGCTGCCAAGGCCTGTGCAGCGGGGTCAGGGTTGCCGGCCGGCCCCGCATGGCGAGGGTCCGGGGTTGCCGGCTGGCCCTTCGTTCCTGGCCCTACTCTGTGGAGGGGTCTCTGGACAGGAGGTGCTGGGCATAGGGGTCTGGGGCGGAGGACAGGGGGGTTGGGAAGGCGCACTGTGGTTCTCAACCTGCGGCCCAGGTAACACATTAATGCGGCCCACAATGGTAAACAGGTTGAGAACCACTTGCCCAAAGTGATGGGGGAGTCCGTGACAGAGCTGAGAATTGAACCCAAATCCCAGTCCAGTGCCGTAAACCAAAAGAGCATCCTTCCTCAAAGCGCTTTACAAACGTTAACCAGTCCTCACAAAATCCTTCCATGTTACAGATATGGAAACTAAGAGAAGTTAAGTAACTTGCCCAGTGCCACAGTAAATCAGTGGAAGGGCCAGGATGGGAATTCAAGAGACTCTGCTCACAGGCCTGAACTGATTCCAGACAGGTAAACTCAAACACACAGACTTTCAGACATTAAGGCCAGAAGAGACCATCATAATCATCTAGTCTGACCTCTTGCACATCTCTCATACAGTCTCTTCTATTTTCCTTTATTAGTAGTTCATTTTATTGTTCTATGTGATGTTTTTGGTAAACGGTGCTTATAAAAACAGCTTGCAAGTGAAAGACTACAAATTCAGTGACTATATTAAGTTACTATAAATGACCATACAGTATAATCTCAGAGTTACGAACTAACCGATCTGTCACACACCTCATTTGGAACCATAAGTATGCAATCAGGCAGCAGCAGAGAGAAAAAAAAGCAAATACAGTCCAGTACTGAGTTAAAAGTAAAGTACTAAAAAAATAAAGGGAAAGTCTAAAAAAAGATCTGACAAGGTAAAGAAACTGTTTTTGTGCTTGTTTCACTTAAATTAAGATGGTAAAAAGCAGCATTTTTCTTCTGCATAATAAAGTTTCAAAGCTGTATTAAAGTCAATGTTCAGCTGTAACCTTTTGAAAGAACAACCCTAATGTTTTGTTCAGAATTACGAACATTTCAGAGTTACAAACAACCTCTATTCCTGAGGTATTCGTAACTGGGAGGTTCTACTGTAATGATACTAAGTTTAGTAAAGAAACTGAGTAGGCCAGTGGCAGACTAATTTAACTATCTTGCCTTGCCAGTCTGCAAGTGCAATCCTAAATAAAACAAAAATTACATTGCAGTGATCGAAGACAACCATGCACTGTGGCTCCTTGCTGATGGGGGATAAAGAGGGGTCCACCTCAGGGGCAACCGTAACTGGCTCCAGTTGATCCCAGAAAGTGTATTTGCAGAACACAAAGTTGGAAAGATGCTGAGGCAAACCGGTAGCCTGAAGTATTTTAATCTAGAGGAAGGAAAAAGCAGAGAAAAGCACGTTTTAAATCAGTAAACAATTTTAATTGAAACAGTCAAGCATAACACAAAAGAAAGCCAGTTTGTTAAAAGAACATCTTCTTGCTCAACTGAGAGGCTAAAAATTATTAAACAGTTACTTTGACACAAAAGTCTTGACAAAAGAAGACTTGTCTGCCTTGAAATATTTGCAGAAAAAATGCTTTGGCTGAACTAGCTGGAAGTCACCACTAGGTGTCATTGAACAACTGACTTTTGGGAGTAAAAAAGAATGCTATGGGTTTTCTGAAAACTTCCTTTGTTCTACAAACATCCTGTTAAAGTAATTCTTGTTCTATTTGTAGTTGTAGGTGCTAGAACTGGGGGTGCAGCAGCACCCTCAGTTCTAGCACCTATACCTACAAATAGGACAAGAATTACTTTAACAGGATGTTTGTAGAACAAAGGAAGTTTTCAGAAAACCCATAGCATTCTTTTGGCTTGAAATGGTTTCCATTATATACGTTTTACAGTTTGGTTCAATGGCTCTCAGCCCCCCCACAATACGAATTGTTCCAGCATAACTGCTTGTAGGATGCTAGGAACAGCATAAAGTGAAAAGCCATGCCCACCCAAGAACTCATATACTCATAGGACTGGAAGGGACCTTGAGAGGTCATCTAGTCCACTCCCCTGCACTCAAGGCAGGACTAAATATTATCTAGACCAGTGGTTCCCAAACTTTAACAATCCGCAAACCCCTTTCACTAAAATGTCAAGTCTCGTGAACCCCTTCCTAAAAATGAATATTTCCAGGGATTTTATAAAAGCAGTGATCTTGGAAATATAAAATTTGTTTTTATGACACGCTTATTACACACTATTATTATTTATCGTTACAGTATTTTTATTACATTATGAAAACGGCAACACTTCCAAGATCTCACTTTTGTAGCTTGTATCACTTTTGATTAAGTCTGTTACAAGACAAGGCTCCTATCAGAGGCGCCAGTAGAAAAAAGGGGCGGGGGGCAAAGCCCCTGCGCACCCCGGGGGGCACTCCCGAAAAAGTGAGGGGGCCCGTGGGGACTGATGGAAAAAAAGGGGAGGGACCCGCAGGGGCAGCACGTGACCTTCGTCGCCCCCCTGTACTGGCACTTCTGGCTCCTATGTTTCATCAAGGAGTATCAGATGTGAAACAGCATGAAGGTATTTAAGAAGCCAACTCAAAGAGTACCTTCTACACAAGCATTCAGGTCTTGAGCAGTCCAGGCAAACAATGCACGTTACAACAAAGCTTAAACTTGTTCTTCATAATAATTCAAAAACAACACTAGCAGCCTATTTAATAATAAAAACAGCAAAAAAATATCCACCTCCCTTTCTATTTCGTATAAGGAGTCTTGAAGTTTAAATCTCCTCAGTGGGATAGATATGCTTGCTTTGATCTGCTTAGCTCTTGGAAGTCCCCAAGGCTCTGGGCTGCTAGCCCCATGCTGCCCGGAGTCCCTATGGACAGTCCTGTCTGCCATTAGGGAATTTTTTCCCCCGAGAACCCCCTGTAACATTTAGTGAACCCCAGTTTGGGAACCACTGATCTAGACCATCCCTGTCAGGTGTTTGTCTAACCTGCCCTTAAAAATCTCTAATGACTGAGATTCCACAACCTCCCCAGGCAATTTATTCCAGTGCTTAACTACTCTGACAGTCAGGAAGTTTTTCCTAGTGTCCAGCCTATACCGCCCTGGCTGCAATTTAAGACCATTGCTTCTTGACCTATCATCAGAGGTTAAGGAGAACAATTTTTCCCCTTCCTCCTTGTAATAACCTTTTATGTACTTGAAAACTGTTATGATGTCCCCTCTCAGTCTTCTCTTCTCCAGCGGACGAATTACTTCTTGTGCCTTGCTTACAACATGCTTGCTAATATATCCCAGAATGAGGTTTGTTTTTTTGCAATAGTGTTACACTGTTAACTCATATTTAGCTTGTGATCTACTATGAGCCCCAGATCCCTTTCTGTAGTACTCCTTCCTAGGCAGTCATTTCCTATTTTGTAGGTGTGCACTGATTAGTCTTTCCTAAGTGGAGTACTTTGCATTTGTCCTTATTGAATTTCATCCTATTTACTTCAGACCATTTCTCCAGTTTGTCCAGATCATTTTGAATTATAATCCTATCCTCCAAAGCACTTGCAACCCCTCCCAGCTTGGTACTGCCCGCAAACTTTATAAGTGTACTCTCTATGCCATTATCTAAATCATTGATGAAGATATTGAACAAAACAGAACTGATCCCTGAGGGATCCCACTCGTTATGCACTTCCAGCATGACTGTGAACCAGTGATAACTACTCTCTGGGAAGGGTTTTCCAACCAGTTTTGCACCCTCCTTATAGTAGCCCCACCTAGGTTGTATTTTACTAGTTTGTTTATGAGAAGGCCATGTGAGACAGTACCAAAAGCCTTACTAAAGTCAAGATATACCACATCTACAGCTTCTCCTCTATGCACGAGGCTTATTACCCTGTCAAAGAAAGCTATCAAGTTGGTTTGATTGTTCTTGACAAATCCATGTTCACTCTTACTTATCACCTTATTATCCTCCAGGTATTTGCAAATTGATTGCTTAATTATTTGCTCCCTTATCTTTCCGGGTACTGAAGTTAAGCTGACTGGTCTGTAATTCCCCGGGTTGTCCTTATTCCCCTTTTTATAGATGGGCACTATATTTACCCTTTTCCCGTCCTCTGGAATCTCCCCATCTTCCATGACTTTTCAAAGATAATCGCTAAGGGCTCAAATACCTCCCTCAGTCAGCTCCTTAAGTATTCTAAGATGTATTTCATCCCATCCTGGTGATTTGAAGATATCTAAATTGACTAAATCATTGTTAACTTTTTCTTTCCCTATTTTAGCCTCTGATCCTACCTCACTTTCACTGGCATTCACTATGTTAGATGTCCAACTGCTACTAACCTTCTTGGTGAAAACTGAAACAAAAAAGTCATTTAACACTTCTGCCATTTCCATATTTTCTGTTATTGTTTTTCCTTCTTCACTACCTAATGGGCCTACTCTGTCCTTGGTCTTCCTCTTGCTTCTAATGTATTTGTAGAATGTTTTCTTGTTACCCTTTATGTCTCTAGCTAGTTTAGTCTCATTTTGTGCCTTAGCCTTTCTAATTTTGTCCCTACAAACTTGTGTTATTTGTTTATATTCATTCTTTGTAATTTGACCTAGTTTCTACTTTTTGTAGGGTTCCTTTTTTAGTTTCAGATCATTGAAGATCTCCTGGTTGAGCCAGGGTGGTCTCTTGCCATACTTTCTTTTTTTCCTACGCAGTGGGATAGTTTGCTCTTGTGCCTTTAATAATGTCTCTCTGAAAAACTGCCATCTCTCTTGAACTGTTTTGCATGTTTTACCAAGGCGCAGCGGAACCTTAACTTCAAATTCATATTCTGTTCTAAATGTACAATCCATTATTTTAAACAGGTTGTAATATTTTGTGAAGTAACTTTCCCTTTTTACTAGTAGAACTAGGTTCAACTGAATTAGGATTTTCTAGATAATTGTAGCTTCCTAATTTCTGGATCATGTAATTTGCGTGTATCGTGACACGCTAGTGTGGCCACCAGTGCCTTTCATTTGCACACAGACACCATTTAGAGCTGTTGCACACTTAGCTCCCTCTTCTGGGCATCCACCATGCTTTCCCTCCCATCCCACCTCGACTATGCACAAGAGAACAGGTTCCCCCCCCCTTCCCATATATACATGAGAGAGACCAGGGTTATTTGACTCAAAATCTTTTTTTTAGTTGAATATAAGAATAAGACTACACATTTGGTTTTATTAGGGCCCCAAATAAGGCTGATAAAAATGTTCGAGGGTAAATCTTAGTTTTTTTGTTTTCATTTTTAATAAATGCCACAGGGACCAGAAAAATGCCATTATGGGACCAAAGGATCACAAGATTCAGACTTCTTGCATTATTTCCACCATTCAGAAAATGAAATTCTTTGAGAGGAGACACAACAGAGATATTTCAGGGCCAATTTTGAACCCCAGGGCATTAAGTAAGCTCATGAAAAATACAACCAGCGTACTAGACTGCACACATCACTGAGCATTCATAGCTATTTGTTTTCTTTAAATCTTGAAACACCAAGATTCTTTCAAACAGGCTGTATAAACTGAACAATTCACATGGTAGGATAATGATAGTATAACTGAACATAGGTGGTAAACAAAAGAATATACAGTGTAATTTATCACCAACATGGAAGCTAATGCACCACAAACATTTAATCACGTTTTTTACACTTGGGTAGTAAGTAACAGAAAGGAAGAAGTTGGCTCAATATTGAGGATGTGATAATAGCTTTTATTGAATGCATCTAGAACTCACCATGCAAACTAGTTTGTTCTCCTGTATGTCGTTCTCTCTCGAACAGTCTGTGCTATCATCACCTCCTACGATTCTCTCCCCAATCGCTCCACTCACTCGCACCACTTCAACATGAAGACGACCTGACACCTAATGAAAAAGGGTGGGTGGGAAAGATTATCAGGTGCCACCAGACAATGGTTTCTAACCTTTTCAGGTAGCTATGCTAGTGCACTGCTATGTTATGAGCATACCTAATCTGTCATCATGGGACCTCTTCCTCCCTCCTCCGCTTCCCTTCTATTGTTTTGTCCCATTCACTTATCTTGTTTTAGATCGCAAGCTCTTTGGGGAAAGGACAGTCTTCCTATGAGCTTGTACAGAACCTACCACAGTGGAGCCTCAATCCCAATTGGGACCTCTGAGCATTACCATTAGCAAGGCATTACTTTGACTGTACCCAATTGCCTCCCATTCATTTATGACTGCTCTACCTGGATCTGGAGCTTACACGACTTCATATCCATCATTATGAGGAGACTGGGATTTGTAGCTGCCCAAGTAACACACAGGTGCATCATTAAGATACCAGAGGGAGAAGGTAAAGGACTAGCCACTCGATCCTGAAATATCATTAGAAGCATGTGCCAGTGGCTGGGGATCACCTTTCGTACAATATTGAAAAGCCCTAATGACTTCCATTAAACAGCTAAAAAGAATGATGTATAGGAATGACAAACCTCTCCCTTCTGATTGATGATAGGGACAGCATATTGCAGCTTCACATCATAAAACAGGGACTCAAGAAAAACATTGGCCACTCCGATGAGACTATGGTTTTCTTGTTCATCATAGAATGGATCAGCTCGCTTGAAGTAAGACCTGGTTAACTTGAATCAAATTCAAAATAATGTAAAAACTAAGTTTATAATAGAATGTCATTTGCACAGCACGGATGAACTGGTGAGGTTTCACAGGTTTTTGTTCTCTTCCTCTAGAGCGTCTGACATAGGCAAGAAATGAAAATTGATCAGAGTGATCCGAACAACCATGGTAACTGTCAGGGCAAGTCTACAGTACAAATCTGCAGCTGTGCTGCTGTACCGCTTCTGGTGACGACACTCTAAGGGCGAGAGCTCTCCCATAGCTTAATAATTTCACCTCCACGAAAGGCGGTAGCTATGTGCCCACCGACATAGTGCTGTCTACACCGGCGCATAGGGTTGGTTTAACTCTCTCATTCAGGGGTGTGGATTAGTCACACCTCTGAGCAATGTAGTTATATCAAAGTAATTTTGTAGTGTAGACTACAGTAAGATAAATTTGGGGTCTATCTTCAGACAGGTTATATTAACCATTTTAAATTCACACCATTCAAAAGTTGACCAGGAGCACAATTCTTGTTCTCTCAACTTAGGTTCTCTCCTTGTAATCCTATTCCTTCTAGGATCCACTGTCAAACCACAAGTGGAAAGTAATATAAAAGTGATATGATACAGCAGGTTAATGAAATATTAAAGAACCTTCAGAGTCTCTGTTCAATACTAGAAATAAGCAAGGTTTCAAGGTAACTGGCATCTTTTTGCCAACCCTCCCCTCACCCAATAGTTTCCCATCCTATTTTTTTTAAAACGTAACAGGCACTTAATTTTATCACCACATTACTGGTCTCTCCTCTTCCCCATTCTTACTTACTGGGTCATCCTCCTCGCACGCCTGCCACTCTTGATAAAGTTCTCTCATATCTATCAGCCGGTTTTCCAATTTCTCCAGTGACCAGATCTGTTTGCCTTTCGCTTTCCTTCTCACTTGAATAGCAGGCTCACTGAGAACTGCACCTCGCTGCAGAAACAAAACCATTAGAGAAGGCGGCCTGAGTAAGGAATCCATGTCATGACAACTGGCACAAAGTTAAACAGAAAGTAACTTTTTGATTAAAAAACAACAACTCTTGTTTAAGCAGCCAAATTTGGAATAGTAGAATCCAAGTCCAACTGTCAACATAGCATGGCCATGTCCTATTAAACTGTCACATTTTATCCCAGTAACAATGGCAGAGATCTTCATAGATCCCTTCCAGTGTTGCAAGGATGAATATTTAAGCATTTCATAAAGAGCCTCAAATGAAAGAGGCTGTAAATTCAAAGTAAGATTATTTCCACCTACAGTGTCCAAACTCATGCAGTTGCTTAATCATTTCCTTCCTTTTATTTATTTCCTTATAACTTTTTATTAAGGCAAAATTACAATAAAATGTTTAACACAGAATGATAAAAATGTAGGGTTGAAAGGTCCCTTGAGAAGTCATTAAGTCCCGCCCCCTGTACTGAGGCAGGACCAAGCAAACCTACACCATCCCTAATAGGTGTTCTAACCCAGAGGTTCTCAAAATGAGGAGAGGACCCTGGGTGCATGAGAGAGAGAGAGAGAGAGAGAGAGAGAGAGAGAGAGAGAGAATGTGTGTGTAATGAGAGAGAAGCTTTAGGGGGGAAAAAAAACGAACAAAAAAACGTACTGCGCACATTTTACGCGCAGCAATGAATTGCTAGCAAAGCTGATTCCTCCAGACATATCAGGTCCTCAGATGGTCCTGTACATTTGACTCTAGATGGCACTGTGCATTTTGATGGATTTCCGTTAAACTTTCACAGCATTATACAAAGTCGTTGCCATCTGTACGTTAATCCGTTTGCTACGACGCGGTGTGCATATTTAATTGTAAGCACTGACTACAATCGCAGTTTTGCTTTTGCTCTTATTACAATGGATCGTTGGCTCTGTTTGAGTCAATGCCTGCCTTACTGTTTTTAATAGGTAGTGAGAGTTGCATGTTGATTTCTTTTTTAATGTATATGTACTTGTGTGGTGGGAGGGGGAGAGTAAACTACTACAGACACAAAGAAGTGGGGCGTGATCAAATACGTTTCAGAACCACTGTTCTAACCTGTTCTTAAAAACCTCCAATGACAGGGATTCCACAACCTCACTTGGAAGCCTATTCCAGAACTTAACTACCCTTATGGTTTGTAAGTTGTTTGTAATATCTAACCTATATCTCCCTTGTTGCAGATTAAGCCTATTACTTCTTGTCCTACCTTCAGGGGACATGAAAAACTGCTCATAGTTCTCTTTATATATCTGAAGACTTATCAGGTCCACCTCCTCCCACCATCTTCTTTTCTCAAGACTAAACATGACTTTTTTTTTTTTTTTAAACCTTTCCTCATAGGTTTTCTAAATCTTTTATCATTTTGGTTGCTCTCCTTTGGACTCTCTCTCCAACTTGTCCATATCTTTGTTAAAGTGTGGCACTCAAACTGGACACAGCACTCCAGCTGAGCCTTACCAGTGTCGAGCAGAGCAGGACAATTGCCTGCTGGATCTTACATACAACACTCCTGCTAATACAACCCAGAATTATATTAGCCTTTTTTGCAACTGCACCACACTGTTGACTCATATTCAATTTGTAACCCACTATAACCCCCCAATCCTTACCACATAGCCAGTTATTCCCCATTTTGTAGATGTGCATTTGATTTTTCCTTCTTAATTGAAAACTTTGCACTTGTCTTTATTGAATTTCATCTTGTTTCAGACCAATTCTTCAATTTGTGACAGTCATGTTCAATTCTAATCCTGTCCTCCAAAAGTGCTTGTAAACCCTCCCAGCTTGCAAATTTTATAAACATACTTTTTACATTATCCAAGCCATTGATGAAAATATTGACTAGTACTGGACCTAGGAATGGCTCCTGTGAGACCTCACTAGATAAACGCTCCCAGTTTGACAACACACCATTGATAAATAATCTGAGCACGGTCTTTCAGACAGTTGTGCTCCCGCCCTATAGAACTTCACCTAGACCATATTTCCCGAGTTAGCTTATGAGACTGGCACGTGGGACTGTGTCAAAAGCCTTACTCAAATCAAGGTATATCACGTCTGTTGCTTCCCCGCTATCCACTAGGCAAGTAACAATGTCAAAGAAGGAAATTAGGTTGGTTTGGCATGATTTGTTCTTGACAAATCCATGTTAGCTATTCTTTATAACACTATTATCCTTTAGGTGCTTACAAACTGTTTAATGATTTGTTAAGGTCCATGTATCAAAGTTAGACTGACTGGTTGATAATTTCCCAGGGTCCTCTTTGTTCCACTTTTCATAGATAGATATTACATTTGCCCTTCTCTAGTCCTCTGGGACCTCACTGTTCCATCCATTCTTGAAGATCGCTGCTAACAGTTCTGAGGTTGCTTCAGCTAGTTCCTTAAGTACCCTAGAATACATTTCACCAGGCACTGCCAACTTGACTACACCTAGCTTATCTAAATATTCTTTAACCTGTTCTTTCCCTGTTTTGGTTTATGTTCCTTCCCCCCTTGTTGTTAACATTACTTGGGTTGAGTATCTGGCCACCATTAACCTTTTTAGTGAAAACTGAAGCAAAATGCACATTAAACACCTCAGCCTTCTTGAGCATAGAATCATAGAATATCAGGGTTGGAAGGGACTTCAGGAGGTCATCTAGTCCAACCCCTGCTCAAAGCAGGACCAATCAGTTATTAGCTCAATCACTTATTAGCTCTCCTTCTCCACTAAGTAGGGAACCTACATTTTCATAGTCTTTCTCTTGCTCTTAATGTACTTATAAAGCCTCTTCTTATTGCCTTTTATGTCCCTTGCAACATGTAACTCAATTTGTGCCTTAGCCTCTCTTCTTTTGTTCCTACATTCTTGTGCTATTCTTTTGTAACATATCTACATTACTTATTCATTATTACATCTAAATAATTAGTGAGGATCAGGATATTGTTTTCTACTACATCGTACGTTCCTTATTCAGGATCAGGTTAGTATTCAAAGAACCTGGCTAAAGATTATGGCTTGCTGGCTGGGAAGGTGTCCTCCTCTGAGTTTGCTAAGAAGAGTAAGCACATTTTTCAATACCCATGCTCTTTTCGGTGCTTCTCTTGTGTATATGCTTGGTGTAAAAATTCTACCATTACAAGGACAGTCCATATTTTATTATACCACAGTTCCCTGGGAGGAGTGGTCACATTTTTCCAATAACGTGCAATACAAAGTTTAGCTGTTAACAATAAAAAAGAAATTAATGTTTCCTTTGTATTTTTAAGCCTATTGAAAGATTACCTTTATAGACAAAAAAACTCTAAGTATATAAGGCTGAGCTTTAAAGTGACTAATAAAAATTCCAAATGTAGGTTGAAACGTATCCTTTACTGGACTCTTGTTGTCCTAAATTCTTATGGTCTGGCCAATATCAGAGACGAATCGTGGTTCAGTGATTAAGACACTAGGCTTAAGACCTACTTCACAGGGACGTTGTGGTAAGTATGTTAAAGATTCTAAGTTGCTCAAATATTATGATGATGGGGGCTAGATCAGTACATAAGAGAGATATGTATATATTCTGTGATTCTATATGATTTACCCTACATAGAATAATAGTGATGGCAAGTATGAAATAGCAAAATATGAAGCAGCAAGAGGTACACCTCTACCCCGATATAACGCAGTCCTCGGGAGACAAAAAAATCTCACCACATTATAGGTGAGACCGCCCTATATCGAACTTGTTTTGGCCCTCCCTGTTCCTTGCTCCCTGACCGCCCCCTCCAGAGACTCCCGTCCCTAATCACCCCCAGGACCCTACCCCCTACCTAACCCTCCTGCTCCCTGTCCCCTGACTGCTCCGACCCCTATCCACACACACCACCCCCTGACAGGCACTCACCAGCAGTGGTGGGAAGTAGAGCAGCCCGGCCCCAGCCCGCTCCACTCCGCCACCTCCCAGCCGCGGCGCTCCGCTTCCCGCCGTCAGTGAGTGCGGGGAGGTTGGGGAAAGGATGCCCCCCGCACTCACCTGCAGTGGGAAGTGGAGTGACGCAGCCCCAGCCTGCTACACTTTCCTTGCCCCAGCCATGTCGCTTGGGGGGGGGGGGTTGGGGGGAATGGGGTGGCGCTGGGGAAAGGTCCTGCACTCACCTGTGGCGGGAAGCGGAGCGCCGTGGCTGGGAGCTGGCAGAGTGGAGCTGATTGGGGCTGGGCTGCTCCGCTTTCCGCCGCCGGTGAGTGCGGGGAGGTTGGGGAAAGGACACCCTCCACACTCACCTGCAGCAGGAAGCAGAGCGACGCGGCCCCAGCCCGCTCCACTCTGCCAGCTCCCAGCTGCGGTGCTCCGCTTCCCGCTGCAGGTGAGTGCGGGGAGGATGGAGAAAGGACGGCCCCCGTACTCACCTGCGGTAGGAAGCGGAGCGCAGCAGCTGGGAAGTGGCAGAATGGAGCGGGCTGGGACCGGGCTGCTCTGCTTCCACTGCTGCCGGTGAGTGCGGGGGGGATCCTTCCCCCAAACCCTCTCCCCCGAGTGACACGGCTGGGGCCGGAACGAGGGAAGCAGAGCGGGCTGCTCCCGGCCCCCCGCTAATCCCCGGGGCCACTCTGGGACTGCGGGGCCCCCAAAAGTGCCCCCCCACAGCTCCTGCCTCCCAGACCCTGGGGGGAGCCCCTGACTGCCCCCGAGACCCTCTGCCCCTTATCCAACCGCTCGGCCCTGGCCTGGCCCGGCACCCTTAACACACTGCTCAGAGCAGCATGTCAGAGCTTTACCACGTTGTATGCGAACCCGTGTAATATCGGGTCGCGTTATATCAGGGTAGAGGTGTATAAACTGAAATGTTAATGATAACTTTGGATTTCTTGGCTTTTGTCATCTTATGTGAAATGTAACCGCACAATAAAGCCCTTAATTAACAGCCACAAAAAAGAAATGTTACTTTTATGGCCATTATATCAGGTGATCACAAGGTAATGGGATTAACATGGAGGGACTCCCCTATAACTGGCAGTTGGGTCAAATGACCATGGTTAGCAGGCAAACTTAAGAGCATGTTTCATTGTTTTTAAAAATTGATCCTTGGTGTTTTTAAACTCTGGCAACACTGCTGTAGAAACTGATGTTAAACTTGCACCACATCACATTTCCATACTTTCATGTTATCAGATACAATAAACACGCCACATGCTCTTCCAACATCACCATTCGCAAGTGTGAACATGTTGGCAAATTATCTGGATCATTAGAGCCATTGGATCACAATGTGAAGTGCTCCACGAGGCAACCCTTTATTGAACAATGATTAAGCTCAGTGAGCTGCTGCCTCACCTTTCTGTTAGCATTAAGGCTTGAAGCTGGGATCTGCAGAGTGACCTTATACTCCGTGCTCTTGTCCAATTCCTCTGAGATGAAACGGGCTTCTCTCACATACAAATTAGCTTTAACAATTTGCTCTCTCAGCTTCCTCAGGCTGTGGTTCAACATTTCTTCTCTTTTAAAGGGGGGAAAAAACAAAAAGAGGACAATCAATAAATTGTTTTATTTAGTGAGGAAACTTAACTAGATTTGCAGTAGAACACAAAGGACCATGGGGCTGATCACTACCATGTAGGTAGGGTATTCATAGGAATCAATATCCAAAGAAACTGATTTTAAAATAGAAAGATTAGCTAAACACTAACTTGGTCCCTTTGAAAAAAAAGATATTTGAAATTTATATGAATTTAGTGAATACAAAAGTTGCCAGGCTGCCAAGTCTAGAGACCCAAAGGCCTCTCCCTGTATCCATAGAACAGGCAGCATCTGTGTGAGCTATTCCACACCTTTCCCACCCCAGAAGTGGAAAAACTGCGTTAAGATGAAAGGATAATTCAGTCTCCATGATCCAGTCAATATTTGTTCTCTGAGAAGAGTGCAACAAATTAGTGCCTACTGTGATACAGAAAACTCTTCACAGGGATATATGCTGACACCAAAGTCCTTCTACACAAGCCACCAAAATATTATGAGATGGTCACAACTGATCTGGGCTGGATTTGAACCTGTGACCTAGAGATGAAATGCTCCATCCTTCATTACAATACTTATTTTTTCAAAAAATGAGGTTTCTTTGGCAGTTTAAGTTAACAGTGGATTATTGGGTTTTTGGGTTGTGCCTGTGTGTGTGTTTTAATTACTACTACATTCAGTGTCTTCTGCCTCACCCTCTTCTTTAGGCAAAGCTCCTCTTTCACCATAAGGCTGCTGTTACTGTCAGAAACACGGTCAGTGATTCTGTTATGGCAGGAGGCCGAAGTCCTGAGAACCTTCACTGGAATTTTCTAGAAAGGGGCACGAGGATCCCTCTCATGGACCTAAAATGAATTACTAGAGCCAGCGACCAACTCTTGCAGGGACTGTGGGACAATCCTCCCTTCATCTAGTGCTATTCCACTCTCTATCCCAGGACTGCTCAGGTCAGATAGATTAACATGAGTGGAAGAAATGCAGTGGCTGTAAGGGTAGCTTTGCAGCCTCTGAAAGGAGTTGCTTTCAGGGTGGACGATCTTGGGATAACTGTTGCTATAGCAGGGATGGTCAAACCATGGCTCGCGAGCTGCATACGACTTTTTTACAGTTAAAGTGAAGCTCGCAGAGTTCCCCATGCTCCCCCCAATCTCCACCTACCAGACTGTGGGGGAGGAGCTCAGGGATTCTGCGAGAGCTCGGGACTTCAACCCCACAGGAAGTGCCTGTCGGGGCTCGGGGCTTCAGCTGCAAAGCCCCGAGCCCAGGCAGGCACCTTCAGCAGAGCAGAAGCCCTGATATCCCCCTCACCCAAGGGGCAGAAGCCTCTAGCCCCACCACCCCGCTGCAGGGTTGAAGCCCTGAGCCCCAGCTGCCATGACCCAGAACTCAAGCCCCAGCCCCAGCAGGTGTGGCTGGCTCTCAAATTTCTGAAGATTATCCTATGCAGCTCGGAGGGTCAATAAGTTTGGCCAACCCTGTGCTATAGTTTAGAGAGGAGTCCATAAACTTCCCCCAATCTCCTATTCTTCACTTAAAATTAAAATGGACGAGCCATTTGAGAATACACTGTAGATAGCATTCCCGCATAACTAGATAAGGTGACAAAATAGTTCTTTTCCACCTTTATTTTTGAGGACTTATTGGAACAAAATGCGTGGTCTGATAATCCTTACAGTGACATTTCCTCTTGGCTGATGGTATCCCCACAACATTGTTGCTTCTCTGCAGGGCTCTTCTTGGGAGCCAAGGACATGTGTTGTAGTCAAATGCATCTTAAATCTATAAGAGACTTCACTGGCATTAGAGGACCTCAAGCCTGACCACCACTGCTTGAGAAATGCTGTATGTTCTCATCACCCACCTCTCTTCTGCCCACTGGCGTAAGCGCTGCTGAGCACTGGGCGAGTGAGAGGAGAACTTGTCCATGCTGCGGAAGTGTTGTTTCTCTGGAGACAGCCGCCTTCGCAACTGCTCTAGTTCGTGCTCATACATTAATCTCTGCCGCTCCAGTGCGGATTGCTTCTCCTCTTCGTACTGCTGTTCCACGCTCTGCAAGATTGACTGCATCGGGTCTAAACAGGTGTTGAAAATAAAGAAGCTAGTAGTGAAGTGTTTGGACACTCACTGTGTGCAGAGCTATTAGAGGGAAGCAGTGATCCAGTGAACAGGGCACAGAGCTTGGGACTAAGGGGACCTGGATTGTATTCCTGGCTCTGCCATGAATTTATCACATGATTTTGAACAAGTTACCACTTTTCTATGGCTCATTCCTCATCTATAAAATAGAGATACTGCTAGTTTTCCGCCTTTGTAAAGCTCTAAGATCAATGGATGAAGTGTACTCTAAAGATTAAAAATAACTAAAAGAGTTGGACTATTATATTTTGTCAAAGTATAATAAACCAAGTGTTTTGTTCTATGCTTTAGCATTAGAAATCAGAGAGGGATAGGTAGGTGACCTAATGGAAGTTAGAGATGGACAAGGTCAGGTTGAATCAATTCCCCTCACCTTTGCAAAATGGGACACCTTTGGCAGCTGTATAAGGCTACTGAAACCAAAAAACTTGACTTCAAAGTCAATTGCAGGATCAGAGAGTACACAGCTCTGCTCAAATACCTCAATGCTAGACCATGATATCCCCAATGTTCTAGTTCTGGGTCTTGCCTGAACAGAAACTCTGAATTCTAACAAGTTTTGTAGTTTTTTTCCCTTCAAGGGCAAAGTGACTAAGAGAAGAAAGTGTATTCAGTAGGAAACTATAAAGGAAAATGATTCCTGGGTTACAAGGTACTCAGGATGTAATCCTATTCCCTGCTTGTATTCTTAATATATCTGCTGCCTCTTACCATTGCCACTGAGTGCCTTCATGATAACTTCCATTTGGGCATATTCATAGCTGAAGTTCATTTCACTGGACACTTCACTGGAATTGTCTCCATCTATATCTAGCTGCTCGACACTGTTGCTGCACCCCAAGGAGTTTTCTTGCTCTTCATCCTCATGCTCTAATTTCTTTTTCTTTTTTGGCAAATTCAATCTTTGAAAAAAGAAGGGGGAAAAAAGCAATGTCTAACAAACAAACAATTTTTATCCCCTGCCTCTGTAATAAAACTGTTGCTTTTAGAAGATTCTTAAAACAAAGGCGAGTCCCCACAAACCACAGATTTTCCTTTTAAAATATTGTGTGGATGAAGACAGTGCCTTCCGCAGTAGAGTCAAAATAAAGGTTCCAAAGCACCCTAACCGGGACCACTACATCACACTGGAAGTGCAACAGCCCTTCTCTCCTCTCCTTCAGATACAGCCATTTATACCAGATGGACACCTATCTATTCATAGATTCTAAAGCCAGAAGCGACCATTGTGATCATCTAGGTTGACCTCCTGTATAACACAGACCAGAGAATCTACCCAAAATAAATCCGGGAGTGTATCTTTTAAAAAAACATCCATGTTACACCTTTCTCTGCTAGACTGATGAGCCCATTATTAAATATTTGTTCCCTGTGTAAATACTTAAAGGCCTGGTCTACACTGGGGGGTGAGTGGGATAGATCTAAGTTACGCAACTTCAGCTACGTGAATAACATAGCTGAAGTTGACGAACTTAGACCTACTCACTGCAGCGTCTTCACTGCGGTGAGTCGACTGCTGCCACTCCCCCGTCGACTCTGCCTGCGCCTCTCGTGGCGGAGGAGTATAGGAGTCGATGGGAGAGCGCTTGGGGGTCGATTTATCGGGTCTAGACTAGATGCGATAAATCGACCCCCACTGGATCGATCGCTGCCCGCTGATCCAGCGGGTAGTGTAGACATACCTATAGACTAATCAAGTCACTCCTTAACCTTGTCTTTCTTAGCTAAATAGACTGACCTCCTTGAGTCTATAACTATATAAGGCACGTTTTTCTAATCCTTTAATTATTCTCATGGGTCTTCTCTGAACCCTCTTCAATTTATTAACATCCTTCTTGAAGTGTGGGCACCAGAACTGGACACAGGATTCCAGCAGCGGTTGCACCAGTGCCATATATAGAAGTAATATAATCTCTCTACTCCTGCTCAAGATTTCCTTGTTTATGTTTCCAGGATCACATTAGCTCTTTTGGCCACAGCGTCATACTGGGAGCCTGTGTTCATCTAATAATCCACTGATTATCTATGGCCCTAGGCACCTCTGACAGCATTTAAAAATACAGATATAATTTACAACCCCATCAATTTCATCAACCCTCCCACACATTCACCAACAAACTGTCTGGTGACACTTATCTCCCTCTTCTTCCCCTTTCACAAGCCTCCCCCTTTCCAAAAGGGAAGGAGAATAATTAGGTTTTACAGCATGCCCTACAGGTCAAAAGAGTTGGGCCATTTTAGACCAAGAGTGGGGAGCGAGTTACAAAGCTGAGAGGCCCTTCCCAGAGAACACCTGCCAGCAATCATCACTTTTCTTTTTTTTAAACAGAGGGAACTCCATTCTGAGGGTCTCCAATGACCGGAACTGCAGCAGTATGCCACAGAGTATGGTGGTCTTTTGGGTAAGTACGTCCCATGTCACTTAGGAAATTATAAGTCCAAGTCAATCACTTTAAACTCCATCCAGAAACCAAGAGGCAGACACTGCAGATCAGCGTAATATGCTCACAGTGAGACATACTATTTACCAAGGATGCTTGAGAATTCCACACCAACTTCAGCTTTCAGAAAAATGTAAACTGTAGCCCCAAATACAGTGCACTGTAGTAATCTAATCTGGAGAGGACAAAGGTGCTAATGATGGTAGCATCGTCCACATCAAAATGGGCCACAACCTCCTGGAAATACATAAATTAAAATCCTCCTCATCACATTACAACCCAGCCAAGACTGTGCATAGCAGCTATGAAACTGGTCATTCGAAAACATCCTCTAGCCAGCATTGCCTCTACAAACCCATAGAATGGGCAGCATGTGGTCCATCTGCATCTTGAGAGCTCGGATAGAGGCCCATCATTATTCTTTGTGCTCAAAGCTAAAGCAAAACTGGCTCAAGATCATAACTGGATTAAGACCTTTTATACCTGAAGAAGTGGTTGTTTCCCCACAGTATTCTGTCTCCATGGTGTAGCAGGGTAGGACCCACAACAGCAGAACCATTTACAAATGTTCTGTGAGGAGAAGAAGAAGAAAAGCTAATACACATACATCCAGATAGGTTTTATTTTTTGTGGGAGGGGGGAGAATAGTTTGTTTCATTCTCCCAATTAGTTTGGGGGAGAATAGTTTGTTTCATTCTCCCAATTAGTTTGGGGGAGGAAAGCAGGTTTGAGGATTACAAATTAATAAGCAAGCATGTCTCCTGTAACTTGGCACTGTTTCACCAATCCCTGAGCTGATTTAAACTCTCGTTTAAGCTCCATAATATTTAGTATTTTTTTTTAAACACAGACTGTACTTGAAGAGCATAATTGAAAAAAACCTATTGGGCCTAAAAAAAGTGTATGGCTTTGAATATAGCCTATTGGAAGCAATATAGCCTATTACAGCTATTTTTACACTGTTTAGAAATACAGGGAGAATAAACATACACCATGTAAAGAAAATGTTGGCAATCTTGGCTATATGCAGGTTTACTGGAGACATCATCAACTCCAGTGTTATGGTTCATACTGGCAAAAACTATACTTTTATACTGTTGATTTCTAAAATAGACCAAGCTCCTACGCCTGCACATACAGAACCTTGATGAAGTACACGAATTTCATGCCCATTACGTGTTCATCACCAAATTACATGGAACATTAAGCTTTTGTTAGAGACCCCAAAGGTACATGGCATTTTGTGGTTTGTTGGAACGTAGCATTTACTTTCCAAGTACCGTTACTTAATCGCATAACATAGCAAGTGCTTCAATAAAATTTCACATATGAACAGTGTTTATAGAAGATTAGTTTAAATCTTGACACTCACAGCTAAATTTAGACAAGTGCAAATAAGTTAGCACGTGTTTGCTGAAACTATAATTTACTTTTGTCTCATCATTAAGAAAAAAGAGACACATACCCCAGATATTCTGTTTGAAATCTAATCCAAAAAGACCCAGAACTGGAAGAGCAAGGATACTATCTATTAGCAATGAGATGCACTGACAGAGCTGTTCATGGGGAACACAGCAAGCTAATTATTAAAATCTAAACAGAAGCCAAGTAGCATTTTATCTTGAGATTAAGGGAAAAAGCTTATTTAGAAATCATCTTCATGCACCATTCACCCTATTTACTAAAATTAAAGTTATGGAACTGACTTTACAATATTTTGTAACATTACCTAGTATTTTTCTGAGGTGTTAGCATAACCTGTCCTTCTGAGGTTATTTCTATAATACAATGTTCAGGAAGAATTCCCATCCCACATAACTGGATATCTTGGGAGTCATCTGACCCTATTAATGTGTGCTCCTGTGGAAGAATCAAATTCAGATGTTAGCAACCGGTAGCAGAAATTTCCCTCTGATTACTCTACAGTGCGTGCACACCTCACACTCTTACATCCTACCTTTTGGACATGCCCATTCCCTTAATTACTGAAGTTTTGAAAGCTACTTAGTAATTTTTTAAAAAGGGGAAGGAGACATTATAACTAGAAACAATCAGAGAAATGGAATTGAACTGGATTTATAAGTGACATGAATAACAACAAATTTTAGATTGAACTAGACCTTCATGTCAAAGAGTGAAAAAGGCCCATACTTCGGAATCCTTTTGCGACTGAGAAGTGCTATGCTGAGCTACATCTACACTACACTACACACCAGCAGCAGCGTGTAGCTACATGCCGCAGTGGAAAGCAAGCTGCATCCACACTTCAGTGTGTAGCTACAGTTGCCCAGGAAAGGCTCTGGCAGCGGAGAGGCAGACAGGAATGGCTCAGCCTTTCCCTGCTGCCACCACCTCCCTCCCCCGCCAGAGTTTTTTCCTGCAGCAGGGAAAGGCTCCAGCAACAGGGAGCTGGGAGAGCCCTGCCCCGCTACCAGAGTCTTCCCCTACTTACTTACGTACCCCCACCCTTCAGATGTTTCTTTACTTGCCTAAGCCATGCCTCACCAGCTACAATGTTATTTATATCCCTGCTACACAGGGCAGCTACACAGGTGTGTACTCTACACTGCATGCTTCTTTTGGCAGCACGTAGACGTACCTTCAATGTAAAGAAGTGACAGTAGCAATGGTAAGAGGCTAACAAGGAACTACTAGTTAAGAACAGATAATGGTAGCATACAGACCACTTATAGTATGCCGCAAGTTGTATGTGGCACTAGTCTACATGTAGAATACCCAGAACAATTGGGCACAACTTCTCTTTACACCCTAGAATAGAGCTCTCCATCAACCATAGACTCATAGACTTTAAGGTCAGAAGGGACCATTATGATCATCTAGTCTGACCTCCTGCACAACGCAGGCCACAGAATCTCACCCAACCACTCCTGTAACAAACCCCTAACCTATGCCTGAGTTATTGAAGTCCTCAAATCGTGGTTTAAAGACCTCAAGGTGCAGAGAATCCTCCAGCAAGTGACCCGTGCCCCACACTGCAGAGGAAGGCTAAAAACCTCCAGGGCCTCTGCCAATCTGTCCTGGAGGAAAATTCCTTCCCGACCCCAAATATGGCAATCAGTTAAACCCTGAGCATGTGAGCAAGACTCACCAGCCAGCACCCAGGAAAGAATTCTCTGTAGTAACTCAGATCCCACCCCATCTAACATCCCATCACAGACCATTGGGCATATTTACCTGCTAATAATCAAAGATCAATTAATTGCCAAAATTAGGCTATCCCATCATCCCATCCCCTCCATAAACTTATCAAGCTTAGTCTTGAAGCCAGATAGGTCTTTTGCCCCCACTACTCCCCTTAGAAGGCTGTTCCAGAACTTCACTCCTCTGATGGTTAGAAACCTTCGTCTAATTTCAAGTCTAAACTTCCTAATGTCCCGTTTATATCCATTTGTTCTTGTGTCCACATGGGTACTAAGCTTAAATAATTCCTCTCCCTCCCTGATATTTATCCCTCTGATATATTTATAAAGAGCAATCATATCTCCCCTCAGCCTTCTTTTGGTTAAGCTAAACAAGCGAAGCTCTTTGAGTCTCCTTTCATAAAACAGGTTTTCCATTCCTCGGATCATCCTAGTAGCCCTTTTCTGTACCTGTTCCAGTTTGAATTCATCCTTCTTAAACATGGGAGACCAGAACTGCACACAATATTCCAGATGAGGTCTCACCAGTGCCTTGTATAACGGTACTAACACCTCCTTATCTTTACTGGAAATACCTCGCCTGATGCATCCCAAGACCGCATTAGCTTTTTTAACGGCCATATCACATTGGTGGCTCATAGTCATCCTGTGATCAACCAATACTCCGAGATCCTTCTCCTCCTTTGTTACTTCCAACTGATGTGTCCCCAATTTATAACCAAAATTCTTGTTATTAATCCCTAAATGCATGACCTTGCACTTTTCACTATTAAATTTCATCCTATTACTATTACTCCAGTTTACAAGGTCATCCAGATCTTCCTGTATGATATCCCGGTCCTTCTCTGTATTAGCAATACCTCCCAGCTTTGTGTCATCCGCAAACTTTATTAGCACATTTCCACTTTTTGTGCCAAGGTCAGTAATAAAAAGATTAAATAAGATTGGTCCCAAAACCGATCCCTGAGGAACTCCACTAGTAACCTCCTTCTAGCCTGACAGTTCACCTTTCAGTATGACCCGTTGTAGTCTCCCCTTTAACCAGGTCCTTATCCACCTTTCAATTTTCATATTGATCCCTATCTTTTCCAATTTAGCTAATAATTCCCCAACCAAAGGGAGCTCTAGACCAGTGATTCTTAAACTTTTGTATTAGTGACCCCTTTCACATAGCAAGCCTCTGAGTGTGACCCCCCCCCCTTATAAATTAAAAACACTTTTTTATATATTTAACACCATTATAAATGCTGGGGGAAAGCGGGGTTTGGGGTGGAGGCTGACAGCTCGCGACCCGCCACATAACCTAACGATCTTCTGAGGGGGTCTCGACCCCCAGTTTGAGAACCCCTGCTCTAGACTGCTACCCAGCTCTTGCAGAGCTCAGATAGCTCAACACAAAAGAGGTCGAAGATGACTGCTAGACTGACAAAAGGGAGCTGGCTCTGAGATTTGGTGGATCCAAATTCTGATCATCTTCAGGAAATTCTGCAAAAACTTTCCTCTTTGAAAAAGCCTTTTCTCCACAAGAATGACACAAAACTGAAACCCCATTCTACTCAGAAATCTGAAATCACCCAAAAAGAAAGTCTGAAACAAATCAATCTGAAATAAAAAAATCTAAAAAATAATCCAAACACAAACCCTAGCCCAGGCTGAGATTTTTACCCCAAAATGGGAGGAGTCGAGCATGACATGGCTTCTAAATTTGATTTTTAGTGACTATAACAGTAATGAGAAGCAAAATACAACTCTAAGATCGATAGCTCTGGTTCTATCTGAAAGGGAATTGCAAGAACATTGAGTATTATTTTTACTAGTTTCCCCATCCTACACCACATGACTATGAGTGCATTTTGCACATGGACTGAGGTCATCCTTCTGAATGTGCTTTGTCATTAATGTATTCTTGTTATGTATTCACATTAAGCAACAAAGAAATCACCACAGTCTCAATAGCTGTCAGAGTTGAGGCTGACTTAGTCGTATGAATCAGAATCCAGACTCCTACATACAAGATGCCTGGAAATGCTTTGACTCCTCTCCAAAAATCCTGAATCATCTCTTTTGTTGTTTATTAATGGTTATAAGGGGCAGTGATGAATAAGGGTTTTTTCTTTTGTTTTAATTCTTTGGGTAGCGGTTTGCTCTGTGATATACAATGACTGATCTAAAAAGAAGATAACATACATCTCCTAAGAGAGGCGGCACAAAACCACTTTTAGCCAAATGCTAATCATGTGACTGCCTCAAGACAAATTACCGTATTCCACTTCAGTGGGAGGGAAATCATTAACAACCAACAATGTGAGAACTTTGGCACTTGAACTTAATATTAAATTGCTGAAAAGTGACTTAAAACTGCAGCATAGATTCCATTTGTCACTCTGCCTCCAGATCAAACCTGCTCAATTTACAAACTAGCCCAGAATCCAAGACTTAAACTGGGTTCATTCTTTTGCACCCATCACCAATAATATGGAATTCTACAATCAGAAGTTGCACCTCAACAGAACCCAGCTCTCTCCCCAGAGCCATATTGATTCTGCAGTGATAACAGAAGTAAAAACTCATTTTAGAAGTCAGTATATATAACTGTGAACATACATGGAGAAGCAAATTGATTTAGTAAGATGCCCCCATTTTTGCATAATCACTTTTCTGAGTAAAGCTACACAAAGAGAGCTGTAAAGGCCAGACAACTGCTTGTAAAAGGGAAAATTTCTAAGGATACAAAATACTACTAAGACACATTTACACTGCTTTCTGGCTCTCTGTAACAGTAAAGATGACCTGCAATTAAAAACAAGCTGTATTTGTGCCATTTTTGCTAACCAATGGACACTAAACAACGCCTCTGAAGTCTGTTTCTCATAAGGAACTCTCTACCCATATGCATTTTCACAGGGTTAAATGATCCACTTAAACATGTTGAAACAAAGTGTTATTTCACCTTTAAGTAGTAGACCAGAAGTTCATTGAGAGCAGGATCTGCATTCAAATTAACGAGGAAGCACTTGTTATCCCCAACTTTGATTCCAGAAGACTGAAGAGATATGCCAAGACTTTCCAGTTGTTTCTGCCGCTCCTGTAAGAGAAACCTCCAAAATATTAATGTTTAAGATGTTTAAGAAACAGATATATTACAGTACACATTACTACCTGCTAAGAAATCAAACCAACATAATAGGCAGCAATTTATTAGATTAAACAAGGTATCCAGGAAACTAATTTTGATGGGCCTCTTGCCACTGCATGTTGGAACCCTATAGTCTCAGAGAGTTACATCTTGTTAGCGAAAGACGAGTATAGTTGTGAGGATCACACTGTAGATCTGCTTGGGCTTCAATATAGGCTCCTTGAAATAGTGAAACAGCAACACAAAGCCATCTCTACAGCCTTTTGTTTCCCATTCTTAGCTAGGAGGCAACAAATTCAGCCAAATCCTTGCCAAGTCAAACTCTGTTCATCTTTGTCCCATAGAAACTGAACACCAACAAATTTGAAATTCTATTTAAGTAATGCAGGAAAGATTTCCTGCTAAACAAAAACAGTAGAATTTAAGATGGTATATTATTCTCATCAATGGACTTCTTAGAGTGCAACAACAAAGCAGTACTTTATTAAAAGTGTACATCTTTTACAGGGAAATGTTAAAAGTTTTTCTCCCAGTATTCCACTCTTCACCCAAACATTTTTGACTTTGTAGTGGATATATATCTTTCTATCTTGCCATTCTTTCCTAAAAGAATGGCCACAGTTTGGTTAATAATACTACCTAGCTCAGAAATTAAACAGAAAACTGAGGATCGGGTGAGGGTCCATCATCTACTAAAGCTAGGATTGCAAAGGAGAGAATTCCCCACCACCGTAATACAAGGAATTTCCCAGAGTTGTCTCACAATGCTCATAAGAACATAAGTACCGACATACTGGGTCAAACCAAAGGTCCATCTAGCCCAGTATCCTGTCTTCCAACAATGGCCAATGCCAGGTGCCCCAGAGGGAATGAACAGAACAGCTAATTATCAAGTGATCCATCCCCTGTCGCCCATTCCCAGCTTCTGGCAAACAGAGGCTAGGGACACCATCCCTACCCATCCTGGCTAATAGACATTGATGGACCTATCCTCCGTGAACTTATCTAGTTATTTTTAGAACTCTGTTATAGTCTTGCCTCATGTGAGCAAAAGAAGTAATCCCCCTACCCTTTTTTTTTTTAAGCAGAGGGGCAATTGAGAAATAGAAGGGTTAAGTAACTTTCACAAGAAGTCCACGGCAGAACCATGATTAAAATCGCTATTTCCTCACTCAGTTCCAGTCTATAAACTCAAGGCTGTTGTTCTCTATAACCTATTGGTAGACACAGGACCCACAGGACAAAGAAAGAGTTGATTCCTGGTCTGAATCATGCAAGATTTTCTTTAAAAATATATGAGAGCCAGAGTTTCTGTATTATGCAAAAAATTTAAGTGCATAGGCCCAGGGAAAAAATTAAACTAAAATCTTCAATAGTATAGCAAACAATCATAGAATCATAGGACCAGAAGGGACCTCATGAAGTCAGCTAGTCTAGTCCCCAGCACTCATGGCTGGAGTAAGTATTATCTAGACCATCCCTGTCAGGTGATTGTCTAACCAGCTCTTAAAAATCTCTAATGACTGAGATTCCACAACCTCCTTAGGCAATTTACTCCGGTGCTTAATTACCCTGACAGTTAGGAAGTTTTTCTTAATGTCCAGCCTAAACCGCTCTTGCTGCAATTTAAGCCCATTGCTTCTTGTCCATTCCTCAGAGGTTAAGGAGGACAATTTTTCTCCCTCCTCCTTGTAACAACCTTTTATGTACTTGAAAACTGTTATGTCCCCTCTCAGTCTTTTCTTCTCCAGACTAAACAAACCCAATTTTTTCAATCTTCCCTCACAGGTCATGTTTTCTACACCTTTAATAATTTTTGTTGCTCTTCTCTGGACTTTCTCCAATTTGGCCTCATCTTTCCTGAAATGTGGCACCCAGAACTGAACATAATACTCCAGCTGAGGCCTAATCAGTGCAGAAGAATTACGTCTTGTGTCCTGCTTACAATACTCCTGCTAATACATCCCAGAATGATTTTTTTTTTGCAACAGTGTTAAGCTAAATATGAGTCAACAGTGTATGACCCACTATGAGCCCCAGATCCCTTTCCACAGTACTCCTTCCTAGTCAGTCATTTCCATTTTGTAGGTGTGCAACTGATTGTTCCTTCTTAAGGAATACTTTGTCCTTGTTAAATTTCATCCTATTTACTTCAGACCATTACTCCAGTTTGTCCAGATCATTTTGAATATTAATCCTATTCTCCAAAGCACTTGCAACCAAACCCAGGTTGGTATCTTCCGCAAACTTTATACATGTACTTTCTGTGCTATTTTCTACATCATTGATGAAGCTATTGAACAGAACCGGATTCAGAACTGATTCCGGAGGACCCCACTTGATATGCCCTTCCAGCTTGATTGTGAACCACTGATAACTACTCTCCTGGGAATGGTTTTCCAACTAGTTATGCACTCACCTTGTAGTAGCTCCATCTAGATTGCATTTACCTAGTTTGTTTATGAGAAGTCATGTGAGACAGTATCAAAAGCCTTGCTAAAGTCAAGATATACCTCATCTACCACTTCCCTGCTATCCACAAAGCTTGTTACCCTGTCAAAGAAAGATATTATGTTGGTTTGACACAATTTGTTCTTGACAAATCCATGCTGACTGTTACTTATCACCTTATTATCTTCTAGGTGTTCGCAGATTGATTGCTTAATTATTTGCTCCATTTTTGTGGGTACTGAAATTAAGCTGACTAATCTGTAATTCCCCGGGTTGTCCTTATTCCCCTTTTTATAGATGGGCACTATATTTGCCCTTTTCTGGTCCTCTGGAATCTCTCCAATCCTCCATGACTTTTCAAAGATAATTGCTAATGTCTCAGATATCTCCTCAGTCAGCTTCTTGAATATTCTAGGATATATTACATCAGAATCTGGTGACTTGCAGACATCTAACTTGTCTAAGTAATTTTCATAACTTGTGCTTTTCCTATTGTATGCTTCTAAAATTTTGAGAGAACGGACATTTATTTAATTCCCCATAATGCTTTGATAACTTTTTTTCCTCATCACCACAGCTCGCTGCTTTTCTTTTCAACCCTGTAATTTTGTATCCGATATTGGGCATTTTTAATATTTCCTTCCCTCATGCTCCTGGGAAGGACAAGGTGGATTCTTGAAAGTTCTATTGTATTGAATCATCTCTGTTCTTGGAGATGTATATTTATATTATTAATGCTTTCTGGTGTGGAAGAAATATTATGGTAGGTGAAGATGTAAAGTTTGTATTAAAGAACCTGATAAGCTAGCACTTTTTTTCTAATAAAAACAGAGACAAACAAAATACCCTCACACCATTTTACAAACAAATTCCAGCAGTTTTATCATAGACAGCATTAGAAAAAAAACACCTTAAGACTTTACTATTTAAAAACCTGATGCAGCAAAAGCAAAAGTATTCATCTTTAGCAAACCAAGAATCGGTAAAAGGTTTGACATGGAAGTGAGGTTTTGCACATTTACATTTTCCCCCACTCTAAAATGCAGGTTGGATATAAGCCACAAGACCAAAAATAAATCACTCCACTTGACACAGCTTAACAATTAAACCTTTTAAACTTAGCATTGCACAAGCACTAGTTCTTATTCTTTCACTGCCAACATTTCACTTTTTCCCCCAGAAACTATGATAAGGCTCTTGAAGATCTCAGCTCTGTAAACATGTTATAACAGGTCAAGAATTTAGGAGCATAAAGAAAAAAAGGTAAATAACATTTCTTTCAAGAGGTCTGAGGCCAACAAGCTAACCTTGTTTCTGATCATGCCACCTACAAAAGCACTTTTGTATCACAGGGTTATATTTTCTCATTATTTAATATGCTATCTACGTGAGCTTTCAATAGATTTTTCAGTGCAAGTGCTTACATCAACACTTGTTTGGTAAGGATGGGAAGTGTCACGGTGAACTGCACAAACTTTCAACTTTATTGTTTGCTGTTATGTGCTGAATGCTCTAAACATCAGGGATAAGAGAAATGTTGAGCATACAGGGGGATTTTGAAGTTACAAAAAGGAAAAAAGACAAGTTCAATTATTTTTTAATATTGTGAATACTCCTTAACTTTGTTTTTTGAGGTATTCAGCACATAACCCTGTATTTAATGCACTCATACTCTATCTTTAACCACAGTCAACAATTTCACTGTCTGAAAGGTATAAAAACCCTCTAATCCTCTCCATCCATGGATTTTTTAAAAGCAATCTCTCAATTTACATAGAGTCTGAAGGTTTATTATTGTCCCCAGAGCAGTAATCTGTGATGTAACCTGCTATCCCAGGAATTAAGCAGAAGCCCTTTAAAAGGGCAATGAACTGGACCTACTTACCCATAAACGTGAAGGGCTATCCTGACAACTATTATGAAGGGATAAACGAAGGAAGTAAGTAATAAGATTTTCTCCCTAACTGCCAAAATCAAAGAAAATGCAAACCTGTGCTATCTCCTCTGTTTTTCTTAATTTCTCTTCCCAGGTGACAGTCATTTCCTGGATCAATTTCTCAGATTCCTCCAACCGATCCTTTAGTTCTGGTGATTTCATAGCCTGCAAATGAAAAAACAAGACACTGAATTCCTTGATATTAGTACCTAGATTATCCTTATAGATTAGACATCAATTTGACAGGTCAATAAAGGAAACTTAACCCCCACTCCTACCGCAGAAAGAATTCATCTCCCTCGACACATTTAACCAAATCACTTATCACCACCACTTCTCTCGTGTACTGCTAGTTCCAAATACAGACCCTCAAAAGAGAGAGTTTATCTGCCCTAATGTAAATCAATTACAAGAAGTCTTTCCATTGCCATGAAGAGATCAACCATATACTAAGCCCATTTTGTTGCCATGTTCAATTCTGAAGCCTCACTGGTTGGTATCTAAAAGAATCAGAGAGATTGTCAGAAATGCTGGGCTTGGCCTATTATCACTTTCTCAATGATTTTCCCCACAAAAAGGCAGTTAGGGTCCCAATGATTATTGGCATGGTCATTATTGCGGAGATTTAATTTTGCATGGTCCAGGGTTCGGCTCCTAAGAGATCACTTTTCTCCACATGGATCACTCAGACAGCTGAAACACTCCTGTTGGTATTTTGCAAAGCTGGAGGCAGGGTGATCCTAACAGAATGCTTAACACTGGAATTCTATCCCCTTGTCAATTCATCAAGTTTGTTGGCCTTCATGACTGAGTCAGAGCCTCATGCTTATTCAAGGAGGCAAGTGGATAGATATTTTCCCCATGAGATTGGTATGGGGCTGATGTTTCTGTATCATATGTAATGTCCACCAGTACTAGTACTGGGGTATTCTTCTTATACTATCTTCAATAGGAAGTAGATTTGTTATAATAATTTATGCTTATTTGTGTATCATTTCCATTTACAAAATGAAAATACTGTCAACCACTTGGTGTTTACACAATGTCAATCATGCAAGCAAGGGAGATTTAGGTTAGATATTAGGAAAAGCTTTCTAACTATAAGGATAATTAAGCACTGGAAAAGGTTTCCAAGCGAGGTTGTGGAATCCCCATCATGGGAGCTTTTTAAGAACAGGTTAGACAAGCATCTGTCAGGGATGCTTTAGGTATACTTAGTCCTGCCTCGGCAGAGGGGTCTGGACTAGATGACTTCTCGAGGTCACTTCTGACCTTTCATTTCTACGATTCTGTGAAACATAGCTCCTCATTGGACCAACTTCCTAACCCCACAACCATAATTCCTTCAAGAAGAATCCAAAGTAAGCACAGAGACTTCGCTGCATGCCCTGAACAGACTCCAGATCTCTTTGACCAAGAGCAGAAGCAAGAGCTAGGAGTGTAGGTTCCTCCTCTGTACTGGAGTTTCCCCAGCCCCCAGATATACTAGTCTAGGGACTGTCAGCTGGAGCATTTCAGCAGCAGAAAGGCCACCTTTTACATATCTAAATCATAAGGAATTCATAGCTCATAAACCAACAGCACGGATTGTATCCATGAAGGAAACGGAAGCCAGTGCAGTCTCTAGAACAAAGATCTAATATGCCTAATTCTAATAAAGTATTGAGTAAGCAAAGGCAATGGGATCGAGTGAGCAAAGCACAAAGTTGGAAATAAGTTATTTTCAAGTTCTAAATCTGCTTTGGTTATTTCATATGATCTTAGATAAATCACTTAACATCTGTGTCTGCTTCTCCATCAGCATGGAGATCAATTATACCTACACAAGGAGGATTTTTTGGTTGCTGTTTGGATAGCGTATGTGCATGAGATATATAAAATTAGCACTAAGCATTATTAACCTTATTTTGACACCCAGGTGACACAACATTGCATATTTATTAGAACAAAATACAAAGCTCTCAGAAACACAGGACCAAAACCAGAATGTAGGAAAGCAGGCGCATCCCCAGAGTGTCTGAATTAGTTGGTTGTTTAGTTTCCAAGATCAGCAGAGAAATGTTAGTAGACTTAGTGTGGACACAGTACCACATTTTGGAATTAGTTCCAGAAGAGTTAGGTTAACTTGACTCAACTACTATAGATAAAATAAAAAGATCAAAAGAGAGGAATGAATCTTATTCATCCAGTAAAAAATGAAAGTGTCAGATATTGTTCTGCTTACAGCTATTTGAGAGAGAAAGTGAGAGACACTGACGCCAAAAGGAAAAAAACACTGTAAGGTCTAAATTTAGATGGGAACGTCAGAATGTAATTCTGCGACTGTCCATATGGGTCACTAAACATTTTTTTTTAGAAATATGTGTAAGCGATTATTTTATGAAGATAAATAGGTCATATACAAATGCAATAAGCTGGAGGGGAAGAGAGGATATAAATATAGCTTATGATCTTTACAGTGCAGACTTTTAGCTACAAGCTGTATAGCATTTTTGTATTTTGTGTCAATTCCATTGAGATGATGGTGGGGGTAGGATTTAACACACAGAAAAGGAATGATCACTTATATTACATTGTTTGAGAGAGCTGGCTTCCATTATTTGGGCACTAATCCCTTTCTATCAACAACCAGCTAGAAAATGAAAACAAAACCATAAAATAAACACACAGTACTTCTCAAAGGATCTCCAAGGATCTGAAAATTTTGGCATGTGTGCGTTTTTTGTTGGCGTTTGTTTTTGTTCTCAAGAGTGACTACTGATTTTGGGTGCCTGACTTGAGATACCTTAAAAGGGATTAATTTTCAGAGGGGGCGGGGCGATGCTCAGCAAGTTCACGTGTCTCAACTTAAACACCCCAACACTGAAGCACTAAAAATATCACTAGTCACTTTTGAAAGCCTCAACCATTGAGCCCCATAACACTCCTCTGATGGAAGTAGTATTATCCCAATTTTCCAGAATGAGAAAGAGACACAGATTAAATAACTTGGCTGGGGCCATAATCACAGCAACTTCTTTGGCGGTTCTGGGAAGAGAACCGAAAACTACCCTAACTCCTAGCCCTGTTTTCTAACCATTAGATCATGCTCCTGCATGCTTCAGTTTGAGGCACAAATTAATCACAAGTATCTTGTCTTCAACACCTGAAATAGGGGCTAAATTCATAATAAATATTAAATGTTTTTGAAAGTTGTAAGGTAAACAGAAGTCATGTGAATATATTTACATCTTGAAAAAAGTGTTGTAATTCTGCTGTATTCCTGGGTAGTTAGGTAAAGCCCTCCCAATAGCAAGCACAGTCTTTCAAATGTCTGTGTCCCTAGTTCTAGCTGTATGTGTTCCTTCCTCCTTGATCTCTGCCTAAGCTTGGACACTACAATGTGACCACTTAATTGGGGGGAGGGATATGAATCATTGGTGGGGTTTGAGCATTGGCCTGCTAAACCCAGGGTTGTGAGTTTAATCCTTGAGGAGGCCACCTAGGGATCTGGGGCAAAATCAGTACTTGGTCCTGCTAGTGAAGGCAGGGGGCTGGACTCGATGACCTTTCAAGGTCCCTTCCAGTTCTAGGAGATGGGATATCTCCATTAATTCTTATAAAATTCTGAAACATTTCAAGGGAAGCTTGCCTCTCACATTATCACCCCCACTAGTCAACACTCAGCAGCCTCATATGGATAAGAGGAAAAACGGGGAGAGGAAGAAAGCTGAGGTGAAGAAAGATGACGTGGATTTTCCCCATAAATACTGTCTAGTATTGCCTTATTGATGTTTATCTTCAAGCCCAGACAAAATATCTAATCAGTGTCTTCACAGGATTGCAGCAGCATGAAGCAGAACACCCAAAGGAGCCTTGAACAGCTAGTATATTGTACCTCTGCTTTGGTGAGCTGTTCTCGGAGCTTCTCCACCTCCTCTCGGAGTTCTCGGATGATGCGGGCATTGGGGTCTTCATTCACCACGGCATGATTAACTATGTTCTTCGCCCGGTCTGCGTACCTCAATGTGGAAAGGGTCTCATCGTAGTTATCTGCTGCTGGGCTGACTGTTGCCACCATAGCAGTCTTGCTGTTACCACCAAGGCTGTCCTGTAGGAGAGCAAAGGAAAAAAAAAAATCAGGCAGGATTTTTTGTTTATTTGTTTTTTAAAAAGAGCACCGAATAATAAAGGAGGGGACTGGTAATGACAGAGCCTTTCACCCCAAGCCCACCAGTTCAAATCCAGTCCATGTAGGTAGTAACTAAAAGCTGTTTGCATCTGAAGGCTATTTGGTGGCCTATGTATACTGGTTTGGTGGCCTCCTTAGGTCTTCTATTGGTGCCCCCCCCAGGAAAAGAAGCCACTTGTGAATGTTCTCTTTCTGGCAGTCATGAGCCTTCCTCACTGGTCCAGAGTGTCAGTGTTAAAGCAGAATGAAGCAAGAGAGGGCAGGAGGGAGAGAGACACCCCATCTTTCAGGTAGATTAAGCCAATCTGATTGAGATTTCTGAAAAGTTAGGCCTGTAATTGCTGACAGCATCATTGTCCATCTAAACAGATTGGCTAAGGACTGTATCATGGAGGCTAAGCTACTTTCTTGTCCCTAGATGTAGTCCCTCCTGACCAAGGGTGAGGGAAAGTTGCATTGTTGTTACCTATGCTGTATTTGTTCTATGGTTGACACAGAGGACTAATCTTCAGAGCTGTCAAGTTCATCTCGGGTTATCAGTGGCCTCCACTCACCTGAGGGCATGGGACTTTTATTGTTTTAGTGAGATCCATCTACCATTCCATGTTCACAAATAGTCTGGCAACTTTCACAAATACTGAGTGTAGATTTTAAAAAAGTAATTCTAATGTATCTGGCAACCTCACATCAGCAATTGCATGCCAGGGATGATTGTCAGGGACTATTTCAGACAGAAACATAGGACCTCATCCAATCTATGTATTTTGTAGGTTACATTCAGTAGTTGTTTACATCAGCAAGCTCTGGTAGAGGTCCCTTGATGCAGGAAGCATGTTGCAGAGGCACAAAACGGCTATGACTCCATTTGGGGGGGGGGGGGGGAGAGGAAGAGAGAAAGGGAAGAGAGATCATAAGAGACTAATGCAACCCAGCTCTCTGTTGATTCAGCAGCTTTTCAAAACTGTTCTACTAGTGTTTAAAGCTGCTTCCTATCACAGGGAGAACTCCAGCGAAGCAAACCAGCAGTAGCATCTCCTGCCATCCACAGGAATTAAACTTTGAGTCAATGGATATGATGCGACAGGCAGGAGATGACGTAATTTATCCATTCTTGTGTCCGCTTTGCTGGCCTTAGTGCTGTGTTCTATTTAAACTCATTGGTGGGGTGTCCTCCTCTAACAAGCACATCTATGATGAGCCCATATAGGATGCAGAAGCGGACAGCAATAAAATGTTTTCAACAAAAGTTACACCAGCAAGAAAACAGTATATTACTGTGCATCATTTTAATCAGCAAATTGGAGAGCAGGCTAATAATAAATGCTTGTTCAATACAGAAGGGTTTGTAAAAATACCAAACAAAATATTTGTCCTAGAAGGTAAATAGCTTAAGGCTATCTGTTTAAAAATAAAAACAAAAACAGATCAAAGATGTTGCACTTGACCAATTTGTCATACAAAGGTTTACTTTTTTTTGTTTTTTGTTTTTTTTTAAATACAGCAAGTTGTAGCTAGAATTTGCTACACTCAGAATGGAATCTAAACTGTTTAACACAACAGGAACAGATCTTCCAAAAAGGAAAATCATGCCACAAAAGAAAAATGAAGGTGTTCCTCAAAAAGTGGACATCACTTTAAAAGGTGCCATAAAGATAACCCCACCTAGGAGCTACAGTTATTGAGGTCATATATCCATATTCTCTGAGCCAAAGGGAAAAAACTTTTTAGTGCAGTAGTTCTTCATCTATTCCATACTGTGACCCTTTTTACATATTGGGGCTGCTCTCTTATCCTGCAAGATGGGAAGGACAGGGTGGTCTTGATTCTCACGTTGAGCACCTGCCTTAGTGTAAATGTAACCAACATGGCACGTGTAGCACTAAGTTACATGTAATACCACACAACCCACAATCAGTTTATGGGTCAGTTACTAAATGAAATGGTTTTGAGGATTCAGTGGTCATTTTGCTGGTCCTACTTCTTGTTCAGCCAATTGCTAAAACAAACAATTTGTTTACATTTACGGGAGATAATGCTGCCTGCTTCTTATTTACAATGTCACCTTACATTATCTCCTGCAAATTGTAACCAAACTTGTTTTTCTGAGCGATTGGCTGAACAAGAAGTAGGACTGAGTGGACTTGTAGGCTCTAAAATTTTACACTGTGTTGTTTTTGAGTGTAGTTATTTTTTGTACATAATTCTATATTTGTAAATTCAACTTTCATGATAAAGAGATTGCACTACAGTACTTGTATTAGGTGAATTGAAAAATACTATTTCTTTTGTTTTTTACTGTGCAAATATTTGTAATAAAAATAAATATAAAGTGAACACTGTACACTTTGTATTGTGTTGTAATTGAAATCAATATATTTGAAAATGTAGAAAACATCCAAAATATTTAAATAAATGGTATTCTATTATTGTTTAATAGCGCGATTAATTGTGTGATTTTTTTAATCGTGCAATTAATCACGATTAATCTTTTTAATTGCTTGACAACCCTAGTTTTCTCTACCAGAAATATTACTCACTTACAATAGGTGTTAACAAAACAAACAGTTTAGAACAATCTGACCAAAAATTCCCCTCTTAATAGGTCTACTTTCACTGTGTGTTTTGTGATGTCACCATTTCACTTGTCTTCCAGTTTTTTCCAGCTGGCACTTTTAGGCCTGAATCTGAATGACAGTTAACTTTCTAGTGTACTAGCTTTACATTTAAAGGAATACAGACCTTTTTACAAACCATCTCTTTTATATTAACAGCTAAATGCACTGCTGTACTGTAGACAGAGCCCTAGAGTTTAACGATATAACTGGTTTTATTTGTGATTGTAGCAAATACTTCTACATGGGACTTCCATGACCCACCACACAGATCAGTCAGAGGGAAATCTGGATTGCATTATAGGAGATGTAGTCCTCCAGGAGCCTGGCCCATATAATAGAATGGGGGCCTGAACTACAATTCCCATAAGGCAATGCCCTGATAGAGAAATGCAGTCTGATGTTTTGTTGAACTAGTCAGAAATATAATATTTCAGATCTGTTAAACAAACTAAATATTCCAATTTGGGTGGAACTGATCTGAAAATGAAATATTTATTTTAATTTTCCCATGGACAATTTAAATTTTGTGGAAACTTTATTTTCCTATCAGAAAATCATTCTAATGGAAAATTCCCAACGAGCTCTAATCTTAAGTAATCCATGAAATGTAGGTCAAAGATTGCCACTGGGCATCATTAAAACTATTTGTCTAATCATTTCATTCAGGCGAACGCATTGAAGCTTTCCATAACAATCCTCAACGTGTTTAAATTCACAGAATAAATACCACTAGCTTATGGGAATACACTTTTTGTCTGCATAAATATAGTCCCATCCCTACATGTCTGCAAACTACTTTGTCTTGCAGGGCCCACTCCAAATAAAATAGCAATGTACTCACATCACAGCCATTGAAGACTATATGGGATCCAGTGTGAACTGGTCCTGTTCAATGTGGGTTTTTTTCCTTGAGCCAGGGACTTTTTTCCCCTCTCCCGAACATTTTCAAAAATGTGAAGTAACTGGCAAATGATCCCAGGTTTGTATATACAGTATGTCCAAAATCAGACACTTTTTGGAATCCACAGAAAGTGTTCATAGTTTACACTTTGAGAACTTCCATTGCATCAATTAGCTCCAAAGCAGAGCTTATATTAAAACCACTAAATTGGAACTCTTCTCCATAGGAGGCTGGGCTTCCTATCAGTGATACACCATCATGGTTCATAACCTATCCATTATTAATTTTCTAATGGTCCCTCCATTACTGTGTTGACTGCTCAGGCCCAGCTCCAGCGCATCCAATTTATTTGTATATATCATTCTCTGTTGTGCAATGGCACTGGTTCCTTTATTGCACAGTGGGAAGGGTGAATGGAGAATAAGCTAGACTCTCATAATGAAAAAGAGTAAGTTTGCAACAGGTGGGGGGCTTAGTATGTCAGAGACAAGAACAGAATGGAAATAACTAAGAAAAAAAAAAGACTAAAACCAGCCAACTATGTGTCGGCACTAAAATTATCGTGAGAACACTATTGGAATGTGAAAATTTAGACATTGCTTTCCTAACCAACACCTAGAACAAGAAAATAGTTTACGAGGCGATCACTGTTCTCAGTTCCTACATTTTTTTCATTTTAATGTGCCTCAAACTGTAGAACACCCACACAGAAGGCAGGGTAAATATAAATGTATAATTGATAAAACACATCAAAAGCCTGATAAGTTGGTAAGAAGATTGGTTATTATTTTCGACCAAGTTCTCACTTGCATTTAGGTTCTGGTGTTGCTCCTAATGGCTTCAATGTGAACAGAATTGTGCCCCTACCATCTGTCATCCAAGGATCTTCAAGTAAGTTATAAACATGAAGGGCCAGATTCTGAGCTGGTTCTGAGATTCACAACATTCCTTTGACATAAATAATTGTTGTTATATCTGTTTTACAATGGGGAAGATGGGCACAGAAATACTGAATGGACTTGCCCAAGGTCACACAACTGGGTACAGAACCCAGAAGCTGCAACTGGCATTGTTGTTAAAGTTTGTTTCCAGTAATGCCCACAATACACAAGGAGCTTTCCGAAGATAAAAGAGTATGGTCCCTGCTCTGAAGAGTTTAGAATCCAAGATAAAAAGACCAGGACAGGAAAATAAATGGAAAAGGGATAGAGGCAACATACAAGTAGTAAAGCTAGTAGATGGCCAATCTTGCAATACAAAGTCTTGATTATGTCAATGGTTATTCAAATTTGCTCTAAAACAGTGGCTTTCAACCTGTGGTCCACAGATCCCTGGAGGTCCACAGACTAGGTCTAAGATTTCCAAAGGGATCTGCATCTCCATTCAAAATATTCTAGGGGTCCGCAAATGAAAATAGGTTGAAAACCACTGTTCTAAAATATAGATTATTCCTAAGTACTCCTAGTATCCTAGAATACATTCTCTCTCCTGCACCACATTGAAAAGGAGTGGCACATTGTATAATAACAATCCCCAAATGCTTAGAGTTTAAAAACAAGCTTGGACATCTTTAATTGATGAATTTTTAGTTTGAGCTTTCTTTAAAATATAATCAAATTATCTTTTTCACTAGGTATTAGTTAAAAATTTCGTCCTTGAGTTTCACTTAAATGAGCTTGTTTTTGAAATTAAGCCTTTGTTAGGATTTTAACATGAACAGGACAAAGGAAATGAGTTGCTTGGAGGAAGGCATAACAAAAGTCTGTTTCTGAGCTTCAGCGCTTACTATGCATGCCATTGCCATCTTTGCTACAATGTATCGGGCAGGGGCTCAACATGAAACTCAATCTATTTGCTGGATTACGTCTAGAAAAGGATCAGCATAACTAATTCTAACAACAACATGGGAAAGCCTCTGAAAAGGTTTCCATTTCTGCTTCCTCAGATTCTGTTACCCATACATAGGTCTCTCTACTGTAGTAAACTGAAACAAACCAAGCATAGCTGATTACAACATAGCAGAGAAGCAAAGTACATTTGTTTCAACAAACTTCGAGACAGTGAATATAAAGGTAAGGCTATATTTTAGCATAGATAAGTGTTGTGTGAGGCAGCATTGTGAAAAGAAGATTTACTATATTATAAGAAAAATAAAATTTATTACTTCTGCTATTCTATTCAAACTTTTATACAGCTTCATCACCGCAGTATGTGATGTTTAAAATCTTAGTATCTACAAGGTTAACTTGTTAACTGATTTCCCAATGTTAACTATTACAAAACAATATTGTGGGAAGGTTTGTTAAAGGTAACTACTGGGAAAATCAAGACTCATAGTGCTAAGAGGCTACATCAGTTGACCTTTTATTTCCCTACTGTATCTAGCCCAAGAGGCAATGAACTGCACTGAAGGTCAACTATTGGGGGGAGGGAGGGTTGTTTTGTTTGGTTTTTTCCAAATTTCATTATAGGAAAAAGTTTAAACATTTTAAGTACCTCTATATCCTGCAGTTCCCTTTTTATTTATTTATTTATTTATTAACACTTGTAAGTAAACTATGGGAATGGAGGATTCAGATCACATTATGTTTAAAGAGATCACCTAGGGATTATGTGCGGGTGGTTAGACTGGGTGCAGTCTACAAAAGGATAGAATCTAGCTTTAGCAATCACTGGGTAATAGAGCTGACATAAATGTTTCTTTTCCAGCTTATTTCTTTATACCAATAAATATCATAATTACCTCTTGATAGCAAGGAAGTATAGGACAAAAGGTAAGGAAGGAAGAGATACCAGCTTTCCAAGATTCATAACTAAGTCTGATAGAAACATTTTGAACTTCACAATTTTGATGTGGAAAAACAGAAAAAAATGTAATAAACATTATGGGATACTCTAGTCCTGATGCCCCTATTGGGTCTGCACCTCTATAATGCAGTTACTTTAAAACCTAGCCAATCTGCCTGTCAGTCACTTGATCTGTACCAATGGAAGGAAAATCCATCTCATTATAAGGAAAGCACTTGCCTCTTTGGCTTTAGATATGAAAGCAACCAGGTAGCTCTAAAGGTAGGATATTCAAAGATCAGGAGAAAACAGGATCTTCCTTAAGTGAAACTACCCAGTCACTGCCCAAACTTCTCTCTTTTTGGTTGACTGCAGCTTACCATCCTTTTATAACCACTATATATTAAAGGAGGCAGCAGGAGCAAAAAACAAACATTTAGATATCAATGAGCGTCATTTAAAGCCCTCCTACATCCAGTTTCTTTTTGCAACAGTAAACTTCAAATCAGAATGATTTGCAGTATAGAAACTGACTCCATAACTGCGCATTTCACATGAGCATGAGAATATGACTGCAACTGGACTGCAGACTGGAATATGTTTTGTGAATACACCCCTGCTGAGTTGAAGCAAAGGGCTAAACATCGTATCCAAAATCTCTGAAGTTAATCATGTCAACCATGACACTGGGTAAACTTAGGTCATAAGGAGATGGTCCAGGCTAAATCAGCCCCAGAGTTCTAAGTGTAGCTGTTAGTGAGTTGACTCAAAAAGCTGGACTTAAATATTTATTAGATCACTTAAAAAAATATGCCCTATACTTTTGGCCATCACAGAGTTATTCCCAATAAGCACGGGAGATAGAATGTATCCTCTAGAGACACTAATGGCTAATACCCTTCTAATTCTTCAAAGATGAGGCTGCTGCATACAAAACTAGGGTTAGATGATGGAACAATTGTATTTTACACATTATGAAGGAAAAATTCTTCTCTCTCTCTCTCCTCATGCCACCCACTCCAAAGATGTATGAGAAGTTCACTTACTTTAAGTAACCAAGTGAGCACAGAATCACGATATGGAACAAATTTGTTCTTGTTCTTGCCAGCAGCCTGATCCGCTAGAGCAGAAATAACCAGCCCAAGAGTTGTAAGGGACCTGCATGGAGAAAGTAACCAACCCATGAACAAGTGAAGAGATCTATAATTCAAAAAACCCTTTTAAATATGATGGATGCCCAAATAAACTGAAGAAGTTACTCACCTTGTGCAGTAACTATGTAACTATGGTTCTTCAAGATGTGTCCCCCTATGGACGTTCCACTGTAGGTGTGTCTGTTGATCGGAACTTTGGTAGCAGTCCATCCCGTTCGCCATGCACTATTCCTCACTTGCCACGAGGCTAGCCAGCATGTGTGGGAAATCCCTCCTCAGGAGTATAGATCCCAAGGGACCAAAGAGTTGCCCTAGAATCCTTCAACATGTGAAGGGATGCATCAGTCTTCTCAGCAAATAACTTTATCCCTTCAAAAGCAAGGTCGTTCCACCATAGTTTGGACCTTTTCAGGGAAGCCAGACAAGTAAAAGCACAAAGCATGTCTCATCACAATGGCCACAGAAATCGAGTGCGCCACTGTGTCAGCTGCATCTTGCGCGGATTGGAGGGACACTTTAGCCAACAGCTGGCTCTCATTGACTATTGCCTTGAATTGTTCTTTGTGAGAATTAGGCAGTTGCTCAATAAAGGAACTGAGTTTTGTGTAGTTTTGGTAGTCATACTTTGCCAATAAGACTTGGTAGTTTGCTACACGGAACTGGAGAGTAGCTGATGAATATGCCTTCCTGCCGAACAGATCCAAACATTTCCAGTCCCGGTCATAAGGGGTGGTTCTGAACTGGTGCTGGCGGCCCCTACAGTTAATGGCATCCAAAATGATGGAATTAGGAGGCGGGTGGGAAAAGAGAAATTCTATGTTCTTTGCTGGCACGTAATACTTTTTGTCCGCCCACCTGCATATTGGCTAGACAGATGCAGGGGTCTTCTATATGACTTTGGCAGGATCCAGGAATGCCTCATTAACAGGGAGGGCCACTCTGGAGGAGGTGGAGGAATGTAAAATGTCCACCAGGTTGTGGTAAGATTCAGTATTCTCCTGCAAGGGTATTTGTAGGGCTTCTGCCACCCTCTGTGCCAGGCCCTGGAATAATGTGAAATCAGCCATTGATGGCAGAGGGGGCATCACCGTCTTGTCTGGTGACGATGATGAGAAGCAGGCTTGAGGAGTGACTTCTTCTTCCACCTCAATCTCCTCTCCTACTTGTTCTGGGGGTTCAGAAGCCCTCGAAACCACAGCTGAAGGAGGGTGTCTCCTTGTTTGCTGACATGCCACACTAGAGGCATGGGAGGCTTGCTGTTTATGAGCCTGCCAAGAGTCCCAGTATGGCTATTGTGGTGGGTATGGGCCCAGTGGTTGGTAACATGGCTGACCAAACCAGGGAGGCTGTGGATCAGGTGGATGATATGCCTGATGCCCATAGTAAAATTGAACCCCATATGACAGGTGAGAAGAGCGGCGGGAACCCACATTTTCTCACTCACTTTCTGACTCTGATGATGAGAAAAGCAGTGCACGGCAGGGAGATGTCAGTGAGTCCAGGGCTTTGGGCAAACTTGGTACTGGGGCCCCGATACTGAGTAGGGGTGAGTCAGGTGCGTTGGACACTGAAAGATCTGTCACGCACTGGAAATCCAGTGGTGCAGATGGCGTCGGTACTGCCAGTAGTTGTTAGTGCAGAGAGGCTTGCATCGATGGAGTTGGAGATGTGGACTTGGCCGCAAAATCCATTGATGCCAGATGCACCGGAGTTGGTACCAGTGCTGATATCCGTACCGATGGAGCCTTCCCCGGGGCGGATCTTCTATGTTTTTCATGCTCCTGCAGTACCGATGCTTCTTTGCCCATGCCTATTGGGTCTTTGGGCAGTCAAATTTTCTCTGTCATATGGTACCGCTTGTGCCCTGGGTACCAGTTTTAGATGGCTTTGGTGCTGTTGGTACCAATGATACTGATGAAGCTGGAAATAGTTTTCAGCTCCATCAGGGCTCGCTACAGGGACTCACAGACCTTCTCTTAGAGGCCTTGTGTGAGTAGCTCATCTCTCTAGGCTCACCTCCCTTCGACGTAGAGGATTGTGGTGAGAGTTTCTGCAGGGACTCAGGGGTTGAAACACCAACTCCATGAGCAGGAGTTTGAGAATTAACTCTCTGTCTTTCCTGGACCTAGGTTTCAGCTGCTGGCACAAGCCACACTTTTGTGGAATGTGCTTTTCTCCCAGGCAGCGAATGCACTGCCAGTGTCCATCAGTCACTGGGATAGATTCCATGCAACTGAGGCACTTTTTGAAGCCCAGGGAGCCGGGCATACCCTTGTCCGGGGGGGTCACCCCCACTGGGGTTGGTGGGAAGCAAACTCTTTCTTCTTCTTTTTTAGACATGGCCAAACAAAAATACAAATGAAGTAACAACGAAAAAAAGCTTCAAGGGAAGCTAAAATTAGCAAATCTAAAGGGAGTTAAAGATCCATGAATGGACAGCTGAAGCTCCATCTCTTGCCAAGGGCTGTTCAGAAGGAACTGCGGAGGGATTGCTCACACATGCTGGCTAGCTTTGTGGCAGGTGAGGAGCAGTGCATTCATGGGTGGGACAGACGGCTACCAAAGTTGTCTGATCAACTGTGCAGAGACGCAGGCGCACCTACAGTGGAGCACCCATAGGGACACTACCCGAAGAAGCAGCTTACTTATCTATTCTGTAACTGTTGTTCTTGGAGATGTGTTGCACATATCCATGCCACTCTTGGTTGGTGTGCGCGCATCCAGTATAGCCCCTATAAACTCTCTCCTCTGAACGGGTGAGAGGACAGACTTTTCTGAGTTGCTCTACAGTCCCAGTGCCTTACAATTTGACTGGATAAGAATTACAGTACCTGAATCTTGAAATGGCCTCTCGCAAGCCAGTAGTCCAGATAGGGATAGATATATACTCTTAACTTTCTCAGGAAGGCAGCTACCAGTCCCATACATTTTGTGAAAATCCAGGGAGCTGCCAACAGGCCGAAAGGCGGCACTGTGAACTGGTAGCAAGATTGGTTTACCAAGAATCTGACATACTTCCTATGGTCTTGATAAATCCTCATATGGAAACAGGCATCATTTAAGTCGAGGGTAGCATAGCAGTCTCCAGGATACAGGAAGGGGAAAACGGAAGCTAGTGACACAATACAAAATTATCTTTTTGAGATATCTGATGAGCTGATGTGGTCCTAAAATTGGCCTGAGACGTCCCTTTGCTTTCAGTATTACAAAATAACAGGAATAAATCCCTGTTCCTCTGTGACATTGAGGAACCTCTTCTATGGCTCCCACCCAGATGAGAGTTTGAACTTCCTGAAGGAGGAGCACCTAGTGAGAGTGGTCCCTGAATACGGAAAGAAACAAACTGCAGAGTGTACCCTATTTCCATGGTACATAAGACCCATTGGTCTGAAGAAATAGGAGAGATGGTTTGCAAACAAAGGGGAAGGAGACTGATGCTGAACGGTCTATCTATACTGTAGGAGAGATCTGCCCCACTGGGGAGAGCAGCGCCGATAAGCTCAACAAGTTCCTTGCAGCTGCAAATGCCTCTGGCATGGATGGTACTGGAATAGTCACTGACCAGTTCACAAGAGACTAAGACGGTGCTGCAGATGATAAATGTGCCGCTTTGGGCCCTGGACTCAATGTTGTCTGCCTCAATGCCTGAATCAATGGTGCCATTTTATCCAAAAAGTGAGTGGAAGAGTGCTTCGATTTTGATTGCACTCTAGTCAACACTTTGCCCCCTTTCTTGGCAGACTTAGGGATCAGAGATCTGCCTCTCCCAGCAATGTCTTTGGAAGGCTTCTGTTTCTTCCTGGACACCTGCAAGGATGAGCAGTGCCGGGACTCAGACAGCAATGGAGATGTACTGCTCACACATGCCAAAGTGCTCAGTACCCTCTCTGACCGAGCAGACTCTGAAGGTGTGCTGAGAGCAGCATCCATCAAAAGAAACTTCCGCCTAGCCTCTCCATCTCTTTTGGTTCTCAGCTTGAAGTCCTCGTCAATCTGGCACAGATCCCTAACGTGAGTCTCACCGAAACACTTTAAACAACTAGAGCGCAGCTTGCTCGTAGGCATCAGCTTTGAGTAAGAAAGACAGGGCTTGAAGCCTGGGACCGAGGAATTCCTTGGTGCTGACAAACGGAACCCCAAAATTGGGGAACTGAGAAAAAACTAACGGATACTAAACAAACGTATCTATCACTAACACACACCAAGAACTATGTAACTAGGTAACTATATACAAGAAAAAAACACCGAGAACTTGCTAAAGCAAGACCAGATTCTAACAACTGTCATGGGCAGCAAGAAGGAACTGAGGGGGGCTGGGAGTGGCTTTGCCTTTTATACTGCATGTGGTGGTGTGTGGCAGCAGATGGCACTTGAGCTGGTCTGATGGGTACTGCCGAGGGGAAAATTTCTGACCATTGTGCTCATGGCACGCACACACCAAGAGTGGAATGCACGTGTAATCACTCAAAGAAGAACAAAACCATTGTCATTTCAGTAGAGTAACTTTATCTCAGTTTCACAGAATTAATATTTATCTGATTAGCACCGACATCTTCAGTGTAACAAATACCTAAAGCAGTAACAGCCCTTGCCCATCCAACACCCACTTCAGACAAATGAAATTTAGTTTGGTGGTCTCCATCTAGTCCCCTTTTCGTACACATCAATTTGCCATAATTATTTGTCTCTATTCATGAAGATAACTGCAAGTGCAGGAGTGTCAGAAGTAAGGCAAGACCCTGCCTTTCCAAAAGCAGCTATGAAAAAAAAAGTTAGCCAGTGGCATTTCCACTAATATTCTCTTCCAACACAAGCGACATTGCTTAGCAATGTATCAATTTTCGATGTGAGAAACTCACAAGATAAAAAGTTTTCAGCCTTTATAATCATGTCCTTGCAACACAAATTACATGCATAACTGTTGCAGGGAGTATAAGCCAGCATAAAACACATCTTAAATACTTAAAATGTGCACAGATCACTTAAGAATTTCTATAGAAATAACATTCAAATACAAAACAACCTCAGAAAAGCCTGAATTGGTTACAACAAGTACCTTGCAGAAATCTTATTGATTAAACAGTGCATTAGAAGTTTGATGTAGCTTTCCTTTATTGCCTATTTTAACAAAACAGCAGTCAGAAAAATCATTAAAAGCCTTACTTGTTAATGTTGCTTCCTTCCTTCAGCCTGTCACCCGCAGCACCAGTCTTAGTTGCCCTTTCGCTGCCCGCTAAGTCCACCAGACTCAGTTTGCCCACTTTCTCACCTGATGTCTGAGGAATGGACAAGAGAAGAGTTACTGTTAAAAGATTTTACTCACTCAAATTTCTAGTTAAGTTTCACAGTTTGCCATGTTTTCAAATAAGAATGCAGGTTGTATTCCTTACTTCCGACCTTTTATCCGACACATTTTAAAATAAATATTATAACAAGTACTGAATATTTAAACATAGCGTTTTGAATCAAAAATAATCCTTCTATTACTTTAGTTGCTGCCTCAAAAGTGGTAAAGTGGGATGCACCAAGAACTCCAAGACCTCTAGCTGGACACCTAAGTACCAGAAGGGAGGAACACAGCCAGTATCAGACAGGTATAAAGCAAGAAGAGTGGGAAGAGGGAACACAGGCAATGGACCAGGAGTCACAGATCAGGATGCTCAATCTAATCGGGGGCAACATCTCTAACTTTGATTCCTATTTTCAAGATGAGAAAACTGTTGCTTGTCCAAAGCGACAGTGGGAGTCGGGACTCCTGAATGCCAATCTCAGGCCTGCTGTACACTTAAACCTTAGGATGACTTAGCTATGCCAAAAATTCTTACCCTTGAGAGATATAGATAGGCTGACTTAAGTCCTGCTATAGACACCCTTAGGTTGAGAAATGAATTTTTCCATCAACCTAGCTATTGCCTCTTAAGAAGGTGGATTTACTACAATGACATAAATAACCCATACACTACAGCAACGTAGCTATAGTGCCATGGCTGTGTTGCTGTAGTGCTTGTAGCATAAACAGCCCCTCAGTTTTGACACTGATTCCCAGTCCAGTGCTCAGACTACATCACTCTGAAAATAAGAATGAGCAAAGCAGGAAGTATGTAATAATTCCACATTTTATGAAGGGCAGATATTTACAAAAATACTAAGATGACAGGCAAGGTTTCTCACATCCCCTCCAAAGACCTTCTCCTTAAAGAAGGAATTTCAAGCTGATTAAAAAACTTTCAACTCTCAACTTTAACCCAATAGAAGTTTTATCATAAATTCTTATTACTCTTGCAAGTTATAGCTGGACCAAAAATAAATTTTTCAAACATTCAACCTGGGATTTGGATTTCCCTTAAATTAATAGGTATCTTAAGCTTTTCCTTAGCTCCCATCACTGTAGTATGCAAGTGCTAAGAGTATAATTACATTTTCAAAAGTACCTGTGTCTCATTGAAAAAAAAAAATCAATGGGACTGATTTTTTCCACTGGGATATAGATACTTTTGAAAATGTAACTTTGTCTCAAAGCACGTTGCCCGTCCATCTCATAGCACTGTATGTTGGATCATCTAATTTCAGAACCCGAAGACAGCAGGAAAAAAAAGCCAGGCCAGAAGCCCAGTGTTCCAGAAATTCATATAACTGCATAGTCAGCAGGGTGGTCACTGGAGGGCAAGAAGGGAAAGAGGAAAGCAAAACAACTATCTTGGGCCAAGCCTAACCAGAAGCATCAAAGAAACCAAAAATGCAATGTAGCAACAGAAAAACTAGAGAACCATGAAAAGTACAGCATTGTAGGGAGTGTGACACAGCAAAGAGAGTGATGTGGAGGCTGGGGGGAAGATAGAACTGAGAGAGAAATATAGCATGGTGGGTGGGGGTGAGAGGAGCTAAAGAATGAAAGAAAGAAAATGGTTAGACAATAAGAAAAAGATTAAGGATGTGAGGAGAGAGAAATAAGGAAATGGAGAACAGGAGTTGGAGAGCACTTTGGGGGAAACATTACTGTATAAATCAGCTATTCCGATGAATACCATTTTTAGGCACTCAATATTCAGGAAATATAAGACAGACAAAATCTTACTAAATTATGCAGGTGACATGAACACACACACACACACACACACACACACACTTACTTCAGAACCCATATTAGATAGAGCAGTGGAGTCATAACACTGAATCTGAGACATATTTCCACAACAAACTGATAAAATGTGCCCAGAATTCAAATTTCATCGAGGGAATCAGACAAAAGCAGTGGAGCCGAGAGGGACAAAACCCTTATTTAAATCCCAAAATAGCTTAATCAACAAAAAAAAAAATACAGAATGTGATTAGTAGTTTTTGTTGGGGTTTTTTCTGGTTCTTCCTTGTTCAACCATTAACCATGGGGGCTGCAAACAGAGCACAAGCGGAAAAGACCTATTTCCTGCCTGGTACCCATCATTCCCAGACCCCACACATTCCCACATCCGGGTGGACGGGGGGAGGGGGGGGACGCGCGAATTGGGGGTGTGTGTGAAATCAAAGAATAAAACTCATTTAAGCTAAATGCTTTATGTTAATTCTACATTCAGTATAATTTGTTTTCTCACACTCTCCTCAAAGTGAGGGGAGAATTTGATCAATGATGTTGGATGTTCAGCTGGCATTACGTTGTTCACTTTTCATAGAATCATAAACTCATAGAACCATAGGGTTAGAAGGGACCAAAAGTGTCATCTAGTCTAACCCCCTGCCAAGATGCAGGACTTCTTGTGTCTAAACAAACCATGACAGATGGCTGCCCAGCCTCTTCTTGAAAAATCTCCAGTGAAGGTGCTTCCACGACTTCCCTAGGCAGTTTGCTCCATTGTCCTACTGTTCTTACAGTTAGGAAGTTTTTCCTGAGCTTTAATCTAAATCTGCTATGCTGTAGTTTGAACCCATAGACTCTTGTCCTACCCTCTGGGGCAAGAGAGAACAATTTTTCTCCATCTTTTTTATGGCAGCTTTTCAGGTATTTGAAGATCGCTATCCTATCCCCCTTAATCTCCTCTTTTCCAAACTAAGCATACGCAGTTCCTTCAGCCTTTGCGCATACAGATTGCATTCCATCTTTGTCGTTCACCTCTGGATCCTTTCCAGTTTCTCTACATCCTTTCTATACAGCGGTGACCAAAATTGGACACAGTAGTGCGGCTCAGATCTACTCAGCAGTACTATCACCTCCTGTGACTTGCATGCTATGCCTCTGTTAATGCAACCCAAAATTGCATTTTTTTTTTTGCAGCAGCAGCATGTTGACTCATGTTGAAGTTCTATCAACCAAAACTCCCAGATCCTTCTCTGCAGGGCAGGTGCCAGGCCAGTTATCCCCCATTCTGTATTTGTAAATTTGTTTTTTCTTACTCAAGAAATGTGGCACCTTACATTTGTCTTAGTTGAATTTCATTTTGTTGTCTGTAGCCCAGTTCTCCAATTTATCAAGATCCCTTTGAATTTTTGCTCTATCATCTGAAGTTTTTGCAACCTCATCACCTCCAGCTTTGTGTTATCTAAAAATTTGATCAGTATGCTCTCTATTCCTACATCTGATTATTTTTACTGACTCCTGGGGACTGATGAGACAAAAGGAGTTGTGAAGCTTAAGACTGGTTACCTGATCATGTTTAGCTTTGCCTTTAGAAGGGCCACAGGCTTACCACGTGGCTAACAGGAAAAAGATAAATTTAGCTTAATAAGATTAACCAAACTTGTTTAAGTTTGTCTTCAGAAGTTCTCTCAAATTTTTGTATTTGAGGTTGCGGAGGTTAAGTAAAAGAAAACGGAAAAGTAAATATGTTTCTCATCAAAAACAGGTAAACAAAATTAAAGGAAAGAAAGTACTCCTGACTGAGAAGGTGAAATCTTTGTAACATTTTCAGCAAACATACATTTGGAAATAGTCCATGAAAAAATTACAACCTGAAATCTTCATACCTGCACAAAGGTTTCTTCATTCTGATACCATCACAAAATATCTCCATCAAATATTTTCTCGTAAAGGACAAAGCCAGTTTTACATTCAAACACTCTTCCAACACTTCAGTTTCCCACCCCCCACACACTATTATTATTACACTAGTATTACTGTAGCGCTTAGGAGCCCCAGACGTGGAACAGGAGCCCCAGTCATGGAACTGGATCCCACTGTGCTAGGTGCAGTACAAACACAGCACAAATCAACAGTCTGTGCCCAAAGAGATTACAATCTAAATATAAGAAAAGAGGCAACAGATGGATACAGACTGACCAATAGGGGAGTACAAGAAAACAGACAATATTGGTCAGCGTGATAGGCACTGGTTTCAGCACATCAGCAGCCTGACCATTGTCAAGCTTTTTATAGGCACCATGGCAAAGGGGTGCTTTAAGGAGGGATCTGGAGGATACTGAGTCAGTGTCGCAGAAGTTTTACTTTCCATCTAGCCCCCAAATCTATATTATAAACTCTTGTTTTAAAATACATGTTTTATTGCTTCAGATATTAGGATTGAGGAATCCTCATTAAATCTACTGCAGCTTTGGGCTTGCATCCTTATATCATTGCATTTCAAAAGCCAGATTTCAATCTTACACGTCCATCAAAACATCTAAAAAACCCTAGCTTCATTACATATGTGCACAAGCACAGCAGTCTATTGGAACATATTACAAAAGCCATGATTAGAATCTGTAGCTTGGATTAGACATCAGAGGTCAAAGTCTCTACCTGCAAATCTCCTGCTATTACTTACCCCTGATTGTACATCATACAGTGTGTGTGTGAGGATGATCTTGAAGACTGCATGTGACCGACTGCTCTCTTCATTCATGTTGGTTGCAGCCACTGTTCGAGATTTGTTACCTTCTGACATCAAAGACTCTATGTCCTAAATAAAATCGTAAGGCCTTTAATAATATGTGCTAGGCACTATCTGCACAAACATTGCTTTCACTAAACTACTTCAATAGATAGTAAAAATAATTTTGTTAAACGTAAAATAGACAAGTTTCTCCCTAAGTTTGATTTTTTTTTTAAGTCTCTAAAGATGAAATCACAATATTGTACTATTTTAAGTTAAAGAGTAAGCAGTAAACAGTCACTGAGCCTAATTCAATTTAAACAACATCACTATTTGTATGTTATCCATTAACTTTATTTGGGTCTCAAGGTGGGGGATACTGTATTCCTTTTTATTGGTTAGCTGGCTGAAGAAAACATTAATTTACTGCAATGAACAAAGTAAAATGGCATTTCATTTGTGAAATCATAGAATATCAGGGTTGGAAGGTACCTCAGAAGGTTATCTAGTCCAACCCCCTGCTCAAAGCAGGACCAATCCCCAGACAGATTTTTGCCCCAGATCCCTAAGTGGCCCCCTTAAGGATTGAACTCACAACCCTGGGTTTAGCAGGCCAATGCTCAAACTGCTGAGCTATCCCTCCCCCCAATAGTACAGCACTTTAGCTCACTCAGTAGTTAGAGCTTTTCATTAACATGCATTTTAATTCATACCTAGAACCTTAAATTTTATAAAAGCAAAACAATCAACAGAACAGGTTATGATGTTTCTCTCCTGGACAAAAGCTTGGGAAGTCCTAGAATGCCATAATTCATCAGTGGCTTCAGAGACACCCTGAGGCATAGGAGCTGCATGTTGTACATCAATCTGGCAAAATGGTCACAGACTTACTGCCCCTACACAAAATCTATTCACCCAACCTTTAGCAGGATGATGCTGGGGAAGGAAAAAGCAAAACAAAACCACAATGCTTTCCTGCGCTGTGTGTGTGGAATTTTGCAAGACTGCTGTGTAGTGTGTATGAAAATTATTTCATGTACATTTTCATTTATAGAAACTAGTAGTAAGGACTGGAAGAATTAACAGGGTGCTCATAACAGTACTCATGAACCAACCTCTGTATTGCAAGTGTGTCTGCTTAGAGACATAAGAGTTTTGTAATTCCATCTTATAATTACTAGATTTTCTGACAGCATATCAAATAGCTCCACGAAGACATTGTGTTGCACAATCCTTAGAATCTGAATTACTTAGATTGAACATAGGGTTGCTACATGATCATCAATAATACTCTTCATTTATTTAGTACATTCCATCCAAGGATCTTAAGTGCTTTACAAATACTAACTAGTTAATCCTTTGTTCCCATCTGAGGAAATGGAGGTACAGAGAGATGAAATGACCTAACCAAGCCTCAAAGCACACAGCTGGGTATCTGGACTTTACTTTCTCCAGCGAAGGCAATGCACCACCCTTCCTTGTGAACCTGTTACATGTCCAAACTGTTTTTGTTTGTATAGCCTAGGTTACTGAGACTACGAGTTAAGGTTGCAGTAAGGAAGAACTATTAAACCAGCCTTGTAAATCTTCCATTTCCTTTTTTTTCTTCTTCCCAATGTTAGGTGGTAAGAGCAGTACTCACATGTTTAAGACTTCCATAAAAGGATTTCTTTAAGCATATTCTCTCTTAATCCCTTAATTACAGAAACATAATATAAAAATAATCTCGCTACTATAAACAATACTTGAGCAGCGACTATAAGAATTACCAGTTTCAAGATCTATTCCGTCCCTAAAATTGTCCCTTACCTTGTAGCTGGCGACAGCCAGTTTAGATAGTCCATCTACATAAGGACCAAAGACGTTGTGCTCTCTAACTTTTAATGACTGACGGCTTCTGTTTAAAAAAAAATAAAAAAAGATTTGTACTTATAAAAGTGCAGCTATCCAAGTACAATAAGGTTTTTAGTAAAACCACAATTTTTATCAACTTACCATTCAAAGGAATAGACAAGATGACAAGACCCTCTAGCTACCATTCAAAGCAGGAATGCTTTCGTGTTATAGTGCACTAGACAAAAAACCCACTTGTCTATACATACAGTGTTGGCATTTCCCTGTACCTCACTTCATGAAAATCAATGTGAGCACGAGAGTAAGTGTTTGGCACATATTGGGCCTTTAAATAATAAAGCAGCTATTTGTAGGGGGCAGTCAGGAAGACAACACGATCCCATAACAGGGATAAGTCTTGTACCCTGATAGGATGCCTGAGAGGGAGTCCATTAGGGCAAGGTAGGGAGACAGCCGTAGCTCATGGAAACAAGAACATGTTACATTGTCCGAGGTCAAGCATTCTCTATATGTATACTGCTTACCCTTTGGGGTCAAGGAGATCTCTAACTTTCTCATTGTAAATCTCCATGTAGGACACTTCCACTTTGAAACTCTGTTCTTCGTTTTCCTCTTTCTGTGCTCTTTCAAAGAGACCACTGCAGAGTCTCGGGATTAATCCAGGCTGGTCGGCTGTACCCATCATTGTGTAAGATTTTCCAGACCCTGTGCATTTGAAACTAGTGTTATTGCTTTTACAACAGATTTTTTTAGGTGATGGGAATAAGGGGGAAGTAAAGGGCAAAGAATGGTTTGGAACTTTTCATTGAATATTCTTTAAACACAATTTTCTATATATAAAGGAACCAAGACACCAATTAAAGGACAAAGTAAAAAGGGCAGCCTACTTATTAAATCAAGCTGAAAAGGAAAAGCCAAGCTACTTAAATTGATTGAAAGCACTTAGAGAGATGCATCCTTATCATGGACATCAATTTAATGCCTACCTGAGTTTCATAACTACACAGTTCAAGTAAGCCAATTGAACAAGCCAAGCCATCTTTGTTTATCAAATTAAAAAATGATGAGCAATGACTATCTAAATGCAGAGTCAGGGATCTTCCATTACAGAATATTAAAGATACAACAAACCCAAGGACATTCATGAACACAGAACATTCAGGAGACACTTATCCACAGCTTGGGAAAGCAGGGTAGCAGGGCACCAGAAATTAGCAATGTTACTCCAAAATGCCTTCTCATCTCAGCCCCAACACAAAACAAACAGAAAAAAGCCCACATCTTATCTACATTGCTATATTGGGAAAAACCTAGCAATGTCAAAAAGCTAGCCCAAGAACAATTATTTCTGTCACAACACATTTCTCATCAACAGCACTTTTTACACTCTGCAATGACTTACCAGTCTGTCCATAGGCAAAGATACATGCATTGTAGCCCTCAAAGGCATTCTGAAGAATATTCTCTCCAAGGCACTTGAAAACAACATCTTGACCTAAAAATAAAATAAAAGCTGACGTTCAGGGAAAAATGATAACTGCTTTTACAGTCATGCCTTTCAGACTCCAAATCAGGCGAAAAGAACTAACTGTATGAAAGATTTACATCTTTCATAATGTATCTCAATTAGACAGTAGGGTGTTTGAGAGAGGGACAATGGATATAAATCTGGAATAACTACACAGAAGCCTGTGGTGTTACTCCTGATTTATATTGCTGCAAATTAAGCTAGAAACTGGTTCTGTATCTGTGTTTTCTATGAACACAATATTAGCAATCCACAGACCCATTAGAACCTCAACTACCATCTATTGACAATCACAGAATTTTGTGCATCAGCAAAACAAAGAAAGACCCACAAAATGTACCTCATTCATTTATTTTGACAATTGCAGTTTAATTTTAAATTTAAGGTAATACTTTATGGTCTACTAGTAAGTGTACTTTACAGTATTCTGTAATATAAGTGAAAATATAGTAATAGACTTTGCCATATCACTGTTATTAAATCTTTACAGAGAAGAGACCGTAATTATGTTGGAGAGAATTACAGTATAAGGCATGTGGATCAACAAAATATAGGATAGTTTTTCTACTGTAACAGTATGTGTAAACCTAGCCACCCTTAAAATTTTTGTTTGCCTCTTTTCCAACTAGAGTGGAAAAAAGTTTGTCAATTTGATTTTGTTTAAAGCAGTAATACAATGAATCACAGAATCATAGAAATGTAGGACTGGAAGGGACCTCGATAAAGTCAGAGGATAATTCAGTCTTTTGCACTGAGGCAGGGCAAAGTATTACTCAGACCACTCCGAGAGGTGTTTGTCTAACCTGTTAAAAAACCATCCAATGATGGAGATTCCACAATCTCCCCAGGTAGTTCAATCCAGTGCTTAATTACCCTTACAGTTAGGAAGTTTTTCCTAACGCCTACCCTAAATCTCCCTTCCTGCAATTTAAGCTCATTACTTCTTATCCCGCCATCAGTGGTTAAAGAGAACTTATCACCTTCCTGTTTATAACAGCCTTTTACCTACTTGAAGACTGTTATGTACCCCCTCAGTCATCTCTTCTCCTCTAAACAAGCCCAATTTTTTCAATTTTTCCTCATAGGTCATGTTTTCTACACCTTAAATCATTTTTGTTGCTCTCCTCTGGACTTTCTCCACATCTTTCCCAAAATGTGGTGCCCAGAATGGGACACAATGCTCTAGTTGAAGCCTGGTCATTGCTGAGTAGAGTAGAAAGAATTCTTGCGTCTTGCTTACAACACTACTGATAATACATCCAAAATAAGTTTTTTATAACAGTATTATGCTGATGACTCATATTTAGTTTGTGATCCACTATAGCCCCCATATTCTTTTCTGCAGTCATTTCCCATTTTGTATTTGTGCAACTGATTCGTCCTTCATAAGTGCAGTACTTTGCATTTGTCCTTATTGAATTTCATCCTATTTATTTCAGACCATTTGTCAAGATCCATTTTGAATTCTAATCCTGTCCTCCAAAATATTTGCAATCTCTCCCAGTTTGGTATCATGTGCAAACTTTGTAAGGGTACTCCCGATGCCATTATCCAAATCATTTTGGAAGATATTGAATAGAACTGGAACCAGGACAGATCCCTGATATGCCCCCCACTCGATATGTTCTTCCAGCCTTACTATGAACCCACTGAGGAACTACTTGAGTACGGTTTTGCAATCAGTTGTCCACCCACCTTACAGTAGGTTCATCTATGCTACGCTGCCCTAGTTTGTTTACGAGAAGGTCGTGTGAGACAGTATCAAAAACCTTACTAAATTTGAGATGCATCACATCTACTGCTACTCCCCATCCACAAGTCTTGTTAACCGTCAAAGAATGTGTCATTCTGATAATTATGCAACACATAGGCAGATGGCAAGATACTTTAAATCATACATGAAATATTCAGAACTCTTCTCTCAAAAAGTTTTCCCTTCCCTGAAAAATTTCTTTCACTCAATGACCAAAGTAGTCCATGAATTTAGTTATACTGTACTGCTTCTCTTCACATACAGCACTGATTTGTAGGATCAGGACCTATGTTTGGGTTTACAAGGCCCAGTCTTGCTCCCATTCAGATCAATAAAACTCACATTGACTTCAGTGGGAGCAGGATTGGACCTTTTAAACCACTGCAACCTAAGCCACTAAAGAATTAGGTCCCAATTCTGAAAGATACTACAGTGAAATTACTCGTGTGTTGCTGAACTGGCCTGAGTGGGGGCAAGCTTTACCACAAAGGTGAACTTGGCATTGTTCCTCAAATTATGGGCAGAAATAGGAATAGAAATGTTTTAATTCATATATCTAGATTAAGTATTTTAATGGAGATATCTGTATGAACCAAAATGGCAAATTAGTTACATTCATCAATTACCTATACTGTATATAGATTGTAATGCATGTTTATTGGCTGCCTCTACTCTAAACATTATGTTTGACTAGAAAGAAGGAAGGATTAAGGTAGCAGTTTTAAGACTTTGCCTTCTCTCTTGACAATGGGCAACCACATAAAGAAAAGGTTTTCCATGCCATATGGTCTTTTCCCTTTACCAAATACAGGATTGTAATTATCATAGAATCATAGAAGTGGAAGGGACCTTGAGAGGTCATCTAGTCCAGTCCCCTGCACTCAAGGCAGGACTATGTATTATCTAGACCATCCCTGACAGGTGTTTGTCTAACCTGCTCTTAAAAATCCCCAATGATGGAGATTCCACAGCCTCTCTAGGCAATTTATTCCAGTGCTTAACCACCCTGACAATTAGGAAGTTTTTCCTAATGTCCAACCTAAACCGCCCTTGCTGCAATTTAAGCCCATTGCTTCTTGTCCAATCCTCAGGGGTTAAGAAGAACAATTTTTCTCCCTCCTCCTTGTAACAACCTTTTACGTACTTGAAAACTGTTATCCTGTCCCCTCTTAGTCTTCTCTTCTCCAGACTAAACAAACCCAATTTTTTCAATCTTCCCTCATAGGTCATGTTTTCTAGACCTTTAATCATTTTTGTTGCTCTTCTCTGGACTTTCTCCAATTTGTCCACATCTTTCTTGAAATGTGGCACCGAGAACTAGACACAATACTCCAGCTAAGGCCTAATCAGCACAGAGTAAAGCAGAAGAATTACTTCTCGTGTCTTGCTTATAATACTCCTGCTAATAAATCCCAGAATGAGGTTTGCCTTTTTTGCAACTGTGTTACACTGTTGACTCATATATAGCTTATGATCCACTATGAGCCCCAGATCCCTTTCCACAGTTCTCCTTCCTAGGCAGTCATTTCCCATTTTGTATGTGTGCAACTGATTGTTCCTTCCTAAGTGGAGTACTTTGCATTTGTCCTTATTGAATTTCATCCTATTTACTTCAGACCATTTCTCCAGTTTGTCCATATCATTTTGAATTTGAATCCTATCCTCCAAAGCACTTGCAACCCCTCCCAGCTTGGTATCGTCTGCAAACTTTATAAGTGTACTCTCTATGCCATTATCTAAATCATTGATGAAGATATTGAACAGAGCCGGACCCAGAACTGATCCCTGCGGGACCCCACTCGTTATGCCCTTCCAGCATGACTGTGAACCAATGATAACTACTCTCTTGGAACCATTTTCCAACCAGTTATGCACCCACCTTACAGTAGCTCCATCTAGGTTGTATTTCCCTAGTTTGTTTATGAGAAGGTCATGCAAGACAGTATCAAAAGCCTTACTAAAGTTAGATAGATAGATAGATAGATAGATAGACCGACCACATCTACCGCTTCCCCCCATCCGCAAGGCTTGTTACCACATCTACCACTTCCCCCCATCTCCCAGGCTTGTTACCCTGTCAAAGAAAGCTCTCACATTGGTTTGACACGATTTGTTCTTGACAAATCCATGCTGACTGTTCCTTATCACCTCGTTATCTTCTAGGTGTTTGCAAACTGATTTCTTAATACTTTTCTTTTCATAGCTGTCATGTAAACAGAGTGCAATCACAAAACTACAGTAAATATTACCTGCATATTTTTCTTTTACAGATTCATCCAAAGACCAGAAACAGTGATCGTAAGCAAACACCTGTAATAAAACAAACCAACAGGACATCTTATAAAAACTATAGTCAAATCAAACCAAAAAAGGTATCTTTATTTTGTTAGCCATGGTTAGCTGATATACATGCCTCTGCTGCCATTCTAACCATCCTCCACAAGACCTTTATTTGCTTTCTATTTTTATGCTTAATCAAATTCAAGCTAATTTACTTTACTGTAATTTTTATATGGTTTATTTTATCAGTCCCATTTACAAGCTGTTTAAAACAATAAGCCATGAGTATATAAACATGCCAATAAACTAAATTTTTAGAGGTGGGAAAAGGAGATAAGAGGCATCTGCATATAAAATGCAAAAAATGAAGGGAACATAAGTCAGCAGCAATGAGTTTGCTCTAATGCAGATACCAGAAAATGCTTTAAGACAAGCAGTCCATTCATTCACAGTCCTCAATGCTTAATACGCAACTATGTTCTCACTGGTTTCTGAGACTCATTTTTTGGCTAGACTCTGCAGCAAGGAAATTTTTTGAGGAATGTGTAGTTTGGAGTTTTTTTGTTTTTCTTTTCAGAAACAACAGCTGATCAACTGCACTTTTAAAAAAAATAGTAAATATTTGGATATTTGAAGGCTGAACAAGTAATATACCACAGCTTTTCACAACACTGGTTTAAAGTGAAATCAAAAACTTACCTTTGGCTGGCTCCTGCAGTTCCCAGAGGAATCATCATCAGGGACAAATGAGAAGGGGCACATGTAAGACAAAAATACAGTTAATTATAGGGCTCTCAGGTCTGAGAAAGACATACAACCAATTAAATATGAAATTGAAGATAACATGTTAACTAGAAACTTCAACTTTCCCCATAACTCCCCTTTCAGCTTCAAGTTCAAAATCACTTTCAAATATAGGAACTAAAGCTTATGAAGCACCCTTTCCAAAAGCAGTATCTGGGATATTTTCTGCAGTAACCTAACTTTAAAAAAAAAATCAAATTAAACTAACCTTAATTCTTAGAGGAGCCAGCCATACCAACAACACTGGGCAAAAGTCTCTCAGGACATACCTAGCACAATAGGGTGCTGGTCAATAACTAGGGCTAGTAGGCACTATGATAGTACAAAGAGGGATGGGGACAATATGGTCACAAGTAGAGGCCCTACCAAATTCAAGGTCCATTTTTGGTCAATTTCACGGTCAGAAGGTTTTTAAAATTGTCAATTTCACTATTTCAGATGTTTAGATCTGAAATTTCATGATGTTGTAACCATGGGGGTCCGCCCCAAACGTGATCAAGGGGGGAGGGAGGGGGAAGTCACAAAGCTGTTATAGGGGGGTCATGGGATTGCCACCTCACTTCTGTGATGCCTTCACAGCTGCGCAGCAGCCCCGAAGGCTCCTGAAGCAGGAGGAGGCTCACAGAGATGGATGTGAAGCTGATCTGCCCGTGTAGCTGTGAGCACCCCAGCCAGGGACTCCTAGCTGCTAGCCCCAGCCAGTGGTGGATTAGCACACATGGGCGCTCCGGGAGCCGCAGGGGGCAGAAGCCCCGTGACCAGGCGCCCTGAGCCACAGCAGGAGCCGTGGAGGGGGGGGGGAAGCCCCAAGCCCAAGTCCAGGGCTGCTGCAACGCAGAAGTGAGGTTCTACCACCCTCACTTCTGTGCTGCCTCTGGAGGTATGTCTGATCTTCCCACCAAGAGCGACCGTGCAGGGGAAGAACAAGTCCTGTCCCTCCTCAGCCCAGCCCTGACTAGCAGCTAGGAGCCCCCACAGCTGGGGCGCCCCCAGAAGCATGGGGAGATCAGATTTCACGGGGAAGGACTTATTTCATGGTCTGTGACATGTTTTTCACAGTCATGAAATTGGTAGGGCCTTGGTTATAAATAGCCAAACAGAAGTGCCTTTTAGTGAGCCCTGAAAATAGTTGCAAATGAAGTCTAGCAGACTGACTAAGAAGGAATTGCACAGACTCTGGACTGGTCTACATTGAAAACATATATTGGCATAGCTATGTCTCTCAAGCGTGTGAAAAATTCACACCCAAAAGACGTAGCTATTTTGACATAATCCGCAATGTAGACAGCAGTAGGTTGACAGAAGAAATCTACTGTCAACCTAGCTACTGCCTCTCAGGGGGGTGGATTAACTACGGTGACAGGAGAACCCCTCCCATCACTGTAGTGAGCGTCTACACTGAAGTGCTGCACAAGTTTAAGTATAGACACAGCCTCTGTCCATGAACCAAAGGTAAAGCTTTTACCCATACCCAGTTCTGATCTCAGTCTCAAGATTCCATCGACAACCTAGCTAATCTAGGTTGCCTTGAAAGGGTGAGTGGAGAAAAGGAGCACTCTCCTGAGTGTCTCAGACCTATACACAACAGCAAGATCCAGAGTGGCTCTTCTTGGCACTTTTCTCCAGGGGAGAAATGATGGTATAAATGTTTTCAAGAAGGTTGGTCAATTCAGAAAAGATCATACCATATTATTCAATACAGTAAATGAGTAAATGAGAACATCAGATTAAAAAATGTAAATATGTAGACCACCATACAGAAGACTTGAGAAGTAGCCAAAATACACAACTTTGGAAACAGCCAGCCTCCTTCACTCCAGAACCTTACAAATGAAATCAGAAAGCTGTTCTGACATATCACATTTATTTCTTTTGGCAGGGAAGGGAAGGGTAATGAGATGAGAATAAGAGATATTTCTTACTCGTCAATTTAGGCTGGGAAGCTAATTTAGATTCACGGTTATTTTTGTGTCACTGGGTCTGCCTCAAAGAATGAAGGTTTGCTTATCAGTCCATCATGGAGAAAAACTTTTCTATCTGGCTCTGGTTCAGATCAAATATTAGGATTTGTTCTGACCAAACAGCAATGACAGCAGCCTTGGGTCAGGAGCAGAGTCAGAGTGTGACCCTTCTGGCAGGTTGGCGCATGTTCAAGTCAAGAGAGTTACTCACTCTTGCTACAGCAGAATATGCGCCAAAAACAAGATAATAACGCAAGAGAGCAGTAACAGTTTGTCTGCCAAACAAAAACCAAAGCTTGGATACAGAGTTCATCACAGGAAGCATGATCAGACCCACGGGTAGATAGTGGCACTTGTCACCCTATATCACCCTTCAGTTGGTCAGAGATAGGGGAGCCTGACATAGGACAAACTGATTCAAGACCAGAGAGAGGGCATAAAATTATGGGGAGTGATCCTCTAGGATCCTCATATCAGATTTTGGAATGTTCAAAAATAAACAAAGCACATTTACATTTCTGCTCTCTGGCCTCAAATGTTTATGCTATTTTACTGGAGGTTCCTCATAGGCTTTTGTAGGAACTCTTATTTACACTAAAGGCATAATGGTATTTCTAAAGGGTGCCATCCAAAAATTCTCACTTTCTTTGCAAATCTGAGTTGGAATTTATGAGAAGAAATGACTCTACCGTAAACCCAGATGCATTTATGTTTGTTGTATCCTGTCTTGAATTTCAAGGCAGGATTATGTTATCACATGGTACTTAAACTTTCAGGCCTTGCTGGAGCACATATTATTCAGTGTTTGGATTAAAGTAGCAATAAGGATATAATCTCAAAAGTCATACATCACATCTGTAGTTTTCAGAACCGGGATTACACTAGGCTGCATAAAACATCAAGCTTAATATAGACTAAAGGCTTGATACTAAATAAGCACCTTGTTCTCTTCAGAGATATGCATATGCACATTATATCCTGTAATGTTTGTAGCCTCAATTACTGTTAATCTGGCTGTACATAAAGAGAAGACCTAAATCAAAGAACGTAAAGCATAATTCACTACCTACTGAGAATGGCTCATAGGAATATAGTATACTGCATTCAGAGTATACAAAGACAGGTTTCAGAGTAGCAGCCGTGTTAGTCTGTATCCGCAAAAATAACAGGAGTACTTGTGGCACCTTAGAGACTAACAAATTTATTAGAGCATAAGCTTTCGTGCATCCGAAGAAGTGGGTTGTAGCCCACGAAAGCTTATGCTCTAATAAATTTGTTAGTCTCTAAGGTGCCACAAGTACTCCTGTTATTTTAGAGTATACAAAGGCATCTAGAAAAGAAACCGAAGTTTGGAGCCATAATTTTAGCCCTGGCTCTGTGGACTTCAGACCTCTAGAGCAGTGATTCTCAACCAGGGGTACATGTACCCCTGGGGGTACGCAGAGGTCTTTCAGGGGGTACATCAACTCCTCTAGATATTTGCCTACTTTTACAACAGGCTACATAAAAAGCAGCAGCAAAGTCAGTACAAACTAAAATTTCATAAAGTCAATGACTTGTCTATACGGCTCTATATACTATACGCTGAAATGTAAGTACAATATTTATATTCCAATTGATGTATTTTATAATGATATGGTAAAATGAGAAAATCAGCAATTTTCCAGTAATAGTGTGCTGTGACACTTGTATTTCTATATCTGATTTTGTAAAACTTGGGAGTACACAAGACAAATCAGACTCTTGAAAGGGGTACGGTAGTTTGGAAAGGTGGGGAATCACTGCTCTAGAGCATAGTTTGAGCTGTTTATGCAGTTACCAGAACTCATGGAATTATTTCCCTGAAAAAAAGAGAAAAAAAAAAAAGACCACATTTTTAGTTTTCTATACCCCTCTGTGCACGTTACCGTACTTTCCTGCGGCTGGGCACTCCAACTTTTTTTTGTACACTCACTGAATTCCCTATCCTCCCTTCAAGATGGTCTTCATGACTGGACCTCTTCTTTGCTCCTTCCATGACAGTTCCACTCATAAGACACATAATTAACTATTTTATGTACTTTTGCAAGTACTTGCTTTGCATTCATTTACAAGCTTGCTTTGCATTCTTGCATTATACTGTGTCACACCACAATCTACCACAGAGAAACCTATACATCTATAAATCTTTATCTCTATATCTCTGTTTTAAATTAAATATTTGTTTGTGGTGTGTTGCTTTAAGATACCCAATGCTGCAGTTGCAGAGTACACATGCAGCAGAGCAGGAAGATACATAAGAGCAGTCAAACAAGTTTCACAGCTAAATTTGTAGATAGTATCAGTTGCAATGTTGGTGAAGCATTTGCAAGGATAGGCCTACATTACAATGTTAACTCGGCTCTTACGCAGGTTTTAGCACAACCTTCCCCGTCTCCCTTCCCCACCATCCACATAGAAAACACCCGATCCAGGTTTGGAGTGCTTTAAGCTTACTCAGCTGGGGGGTATAGGTTAGAGCATAAGCTCCACTTCAGCTATGGCTGGAACCAGATATTTTGCAGTGAAGAGACAGGCAAAACAAAAACAAAACAAACAAAAAAATCACTCTGGTGCTGATAGTCCTCCAATGCCCTTCCTCCTGTTAAACCAGACAGTTTTGTTTACTAGTTTTATTTAGTGTAGGTAGGGGAATCTGTATGGTGTTTGAGAATGACAAAAGAGATGCAGCCCTGAGTAATCATTTATTTTGAACCTAAAACCCTTGCACCATACATGATTCTTGACCCACATACAGTACACCTATTCTCACTAGAAATGAGAGAAGGCAGGTTACACAGATATTTAGCACACTAAGTATCAAATCAAAAGAGACCCTAGTTTCCAACATTGGGGGTCAGAGTATATGCCTATGAGATTAGATTCCTGCATTTCTTATTACCATTCATTAAAATCATTAATCTCAGAAAATTAAATCATGTTTAATGTTTACACCTACTTAACCTGACATCAGCAGTG